CTCTTTTGATAAAATTTTACAAATTACACCACCAGTCCCTGATGTTCGCAACATTGATAAACTTTCTGCGTCTCGAGAACAAGCACAGGAATCATGCAAATAACTGGCATGCCTTGAGGCAGTAAAAATAGCATGGAGCATGTTAATGGTAGATCTTAACCTTCTTCACCGCGTTACTATGTAAGAAGCTTTTGTACAGTGGTGGATGGATTTAAACACCCTGCTGCAACTGCCACTTACCTAGCTAGGCCCTTGCAATGCCGATTCGTTGCATTCGCTTTGATACATCCTCAGCTCAGTGGCTTTGTCTTGCCTCTTGCCTCTGCGTCAATGCATGGTTATTACAACGCAACCTAGACCCGCTGGTTGGTGACCGTTACATGTAAACTTCGACCTGGCCATATCCTGGCCAGCACCTCCTTCGTAGGGTCGAACCCATGCGTGTGAAATGCATTATTGTGGGCGACGTGCAAGAGAGCAACTATTGACCGGACGAAAGTGAACCCTTCGGTGGCCGAAGTTGGGGCATCCAGAACCGGTATCAAGTTATCCAGAGAATCCGCTCTCTCCCTTCCTTTAATCTACTCCAACTTATGAGCATGCCTCTGTTGTTTCGTTGTGTGGTCGCGTGTTGGTTTGCTGATCAGAACACCATGCTCGGCTGAAGCACAGGGAAGATATGGAGCAACGTTGGTCCGAAGGGCCATGCATTTAATCTGCTGATGTTTATAAATGCACTGCAACTATTACATGGCACATTGACAGTGATAGCTAAGGCGATGCTTGACTGCTATGAGGAAACCAAAGCCTTCCGTCACCAAGGACATATTCAAGCTGCATGTCAGCCACCACCGACAGGCGATCCCTCCCAAACGGAATGCGATACACAATGGTGGGGTTGCAAAGACATCCAAGTGCATTACGGCACGGAGTGCTTTGTCCAGGCCCCCAACAGTGCGAAAACATATGGATTGATGAAAGCTTGATGATGAAAGGAAGCAAACGAAACATGCCTCCTGATTTTGTGACGTCGTCAGCCAGAGGCGGCGTGCTTTCAAGGCCATGCTCGGATAGGGAGTATCCACCGTCGTGGGTCTTTCAAACCATCGAAAATGCGAGACTCAGGTCAGCATCGCCATCCGGAACGGGGCCCCCTGATTCGTATGTCTGCAATTCACGTCCCGTTCATTCCGGTGGTTCATTTTCTAATCTCCATCCCATGGCTGAGGGGGCCACATACAGCGCCTCCCTGGAGCCCAGCTGACTCAGGACTGGTGGATCAACCACAGCTGGCTTTGTTAATATGATGGAAAACAAGAAGTTTAGGTGTTGTGCAGGTTTTATCCTTCTGAACTAATTACTGTACCACTGGCGCGGGCGGCGTTCTAGCTCCCTTGGCCGGATGCCTATTGCAGACGCCACCTCTCATACCGCTCGCTACATGGCTCTTGTTGGCTTCGCTACAGCAATTCCATATCCAGCAGGAATAATACGACGGACTCTTACGGCCACGCCACCATGTTCTATGGGACGCACGCCGTCAGATGAAGGACTTGCTGATGCTCACAAGCCGAAGCTCTCGCTATCCAGCTACACTAAGCAGCTTTGCTCCGCCTCCCGCTAAAGTAAAGTGACAATCTTCGCACGGATGCTGCTCTACTAGAAGGGGACGCAGCCCGAAAACACTTATGACGATGCCTCACTGGTTCAAAAGACATCCTTGAACTGTCCATTTGCAGCCATAGGCCGGTGGCTTGTTTATAGCCATTGTCATCTGCTGTACGATCCTCTAACGATGCTAATGCCACGACCATGGTCGCGAGGCCCCTCTACGAGCAGACGAGTCGTCGCGGCCTCCAGGTCGTCAAGTGCCACTGAAAGTTTGCATCTTCGTTCCTCATCCAAACCTCATCCAGATGTAGCGTTTGCCTAGCGCACTTCCCGTGCCGGACTCTTGGTTTCAATACGATAGCCGACGGGAGGGGATCAGCTCATTCACGCCCGGGAATGGCGGCTGCTTTTCACATCTCGCGGCGGAACCATCCTGTGTCAGTCACTAAGGGCGCCCTCGATGCTCTGGGCCGCGTCCTCGTCTCCAGACCGGCCGAACTTACCGATTAGCCACCCGCCAAAGAGCACATAACTCTACCACTGCCCAATGGTCCACTAGTTCCGCCCATCGACGGCGCCTGGTGTATTTGGAGCAGGTTCTGAATGCCTTGCAGCAACCACTGAGACCTCGGCCGAGACCCTGAAAGAAGCAGGCTGATCAGTCGACTCCTTTCTTACCACACGTTTGCGGCAATTTGTCCTTTACCCCCATCACAATTTCGTTCGAAGGACCCATCCCCGACAGCAGCGACCGAGGTGCGGGCATAACGCCATGGGGACCGCACGACGTGATCTTCATGTCCGGCCCAATCACGTGTAGGCCGATTTCACATCATCACTCTCATCAGCCTAGTTAGTGTGCCGTTAGCCCCTGAAGCCGCTCCCTTTCCATGATCGACACTGTATGCGAGTGAATTGGCGAGCTAAGCAAGAGGCTGCACCTTCAAGGACTGTTCGACGATCTTCTTTCTAGATGATGTCGGCGTGCAGGACAGAGACACTCCGTCGCTGATAATTGTCTCCCGTCCACGGCTCAATAGTCTCGCCAGAGTTTGTGTAGTACCTGTATGATCCACCGAAGGAGTTGCACTTGATATTTCCAGATCATACACCAAGATTTACTGTAAGAGACATCGTAGTTGCAATATGCAGCGCCGTCATGTGTTCTGAATTGTCGAAACTGCTTACGAATACTGGTCAAGTTCTTATCACGTGCAGAAGCTCGCCCATTGCTACATGACCTACCACATTTGTGAGGCTTCACTTGACTAAAAGTATTTGACCTCCGTAAGGGACTTAAGAACAGAGTACTACATGCAATATATTCAGCCCAACGACAGCTACATGTTGGCTCACATGTCTTTAAAATAGAGGACCAGTCGATAGTCTGACTATTTCTTTGCAGGTTTAGTCCGCCAAAGAAGCAACTCTATCCGTCGAGGGCATCATAAGTTTCACAGCCTCCTGAACAAAGAACTCAATAGTTGTGTTGGAGCTGGTGGAGCTATAGTACTGTCCAGATTTTCGAGGCTTTCAAAGCATTATGCTTCTCATCGATTAGTAAGTATACCACCAACTAAATAGTAGCTGTGGCCCCGGTGGAGGAGTATGTACTGTGCAGCTAATATGTTGATCGATGTGTTCTTTATGACCCAATAGACGTAAAAGCTCCTCGTGAGGAGCTGATCGAAAGTGAGATCCGTAAGAAGTCTGTGTCGAGCTTTCTTTGTCTCCGCTTTGTTTTCGATCAAGAAGAAGAGGGTTTTAAAGCCAAGGGAAAAGGCTTGCTGAGTGACTGTGAGAGCCGTCGACCCCATCTACGCCGATCTGCCTATCGTGGGATGGTTTAGCTCCCATTCACAATGTCTCTATTTGAGATTAAAAATCAAACTCGAGACAGATTTCATCTTCTCCGAGCAACCTTGATACCTTTTGACCGCAGCAAGTTTCTGTCTGAACTGACTATTTCACAGCCTTTTTAATAATTCTGCTGGTGTCCCCTGGACGATGGACTCGCCATTTACACGACACGGTTCAGAAACGCCATGCCACAAACCCAAGAGGCGTTGATTAGACTACAATTGAATCATTGCACTGCCTCCCTGAAGATCCTGTCATCATTGTCCCGATGACGATGGGTCCTTCGTTCACAACGTCTTAAGGTATGTGACGGAAGTAATTAAACTCAAAACTTCTGGCACCCATCCTACAAATTGGAACACTCTAGATGTTATGCTGTCTTTTATTATCTGTGATATGTTACTAACTGGATATTCACTCTTCAGCCAGACTACTGCCATTCTTTTCAATCGTTGGACGAGCATCAATTTTCATCTTTGTTATAGTGTCTGGAGGATACTTTGTACATTGAATCAACCTACTGGTACATTTTTTCGCATCTTAGGGCAGAATTCAAACATGAAAACATATATCATTTTGTAATGTCAATGGCTGCTTCGGGGTCCTCTGGGAGGTCGTTATTGTGCTTCGCTGTAGATCCCGGATGGGTGTGGGCAGCCAATACGTATATGAAGAACTTCAGCTGCAACATCGACACCACGGTATCGGCCAAGAAGCTTGAGGTTGCAAGCTTTCAATCACCTTTAATGACCACCCGAGAAGAAGAGTCCAAGGGGCAAAACAAATGCTTACATGGCATCAGCCCAATGGCAACAGCGTGGAGGATATCTTCCCCGGCTATAACTCGAACATGGTATACACCCCTGAAATGCCAATAATATATTCGCGGCCGATGATGATGAGATCCGGAAGCTCAAATTTTTACTTTCATTACCGTATGTCTATTCTCATATCTATGTCACTTATCTTAGAAGTTTCAATACCGTTTGCTGAATCGCACTCCGTTGCAGAGACTACCACTGTCGCATGAGCTCCACAGACAAGCTGTTTGACAATGAAGAAAACGGCTTATGCATAGACCTGAGGTATTGGAGCAAAATAACTGCCAATCCAAACCATAACTTGATCTCTCCTTTGATGTGATTCTAGTCTCCCGAAGCTTGTAAAGAAGGCGTGACGATGAGTTCGACACTGACCTGACCGTAGGGGAGATATCTAATGAGCAAAAAGGCGACCCCAGAGCTTTGATTTCTCGTAAAGTTGAGGTCACCCTCCTTGAAAGTTGTTACAGTATTGACACAAAGCGTTGATGCTTCTTATTATACAGTATAGTACCTATTGCTGACTAACGGGCCGAACCACAACCCCCCACGCACGCTCCCACGCTAGTTAGCAGCTTTACTGCGTGAACGCGGTATATGCACTAAGACGCGCTCTGCTATACCACTGCTTGCACACACGACACCTCCAGTGTGCCTCGACTTTTCCATGTCTCGAGCTCGCTGACCGACTCGGCACACGCAACGCCAATGGAGTTGTCATCGGACCATGGCGATCCACCGATCGATGCTTCCAAGCCCTTCCAAGGAGTCGTCGTCTGCTGCACCAGCATCGCGCCGGAGCAAAGGGTGAGTCTTTGTCGAGCTTCTTTGTGCCCCGCCACCACCGCTGCCTGTTCTCGCGATGAAGCATGACGGACTGCTGTTGGGAAGCATGCAACTGACAAGAGATATCTCTTAGACGCATATAGCCAAGATAACCGTCGAACTCGGTGGTATTCACAAACACGACCTCACACCAGACATCACGCACTTGATTGTCGGCGAATACGACACCGCTAAGTATCGCCATGTCGCTAAGGAACGGCCAGATATCAAGCCCATGGCAGCCGGCTGGGTCGAGGCGATGAAGGATCTTTGGATAAATGACCAGCCAATCGACTTCACAGCTTTGGAGAATGAGTGGTCTTTGAAAGTCTTCGAAACTTGTGGCGAGGAGATCAATGCGCAAGGCCAGCTTGGTGACCGCGGCAGGCTTCTTTGCTGTCTAACAGGCTTTGATGACCGTAAGTAGAATTATAGTTATCACCTATCCTGCTTTTATCTTGGCTAAGTCCTATATCGCAGCCGACGAACGTCAGTCGATCATCGAAAAAATCACATCGAACGGCGGCAACTACACGGGAGATCTCACACGCAAAGTCACACACCTTATCGTGTTCAAGGCAGAGGGGAGGAAGTATGCTGCTGCCAAGAACTGGAACGTTCATACCGTTTCTATCGAATGGTTAGACGACAGCATCAAACGCGGCATGATCCTCGACGAGAAGTGCTACGACCCGTTGATGCCCAAGGAAGAGCGTGGGAAGGGCGCGTGGACAAAGAAAGAAGTCCGCCGAGTTTCTCTCGGCAAGAGGCTGCGTGACGGCGCAGCAGCACAAGATGAAGGGAAGAGAAAGCTTCGAAAGACTGCCAGCATGAAGCTGAGCAGCCAGAGAGAGAACTTGTGGGGAGATATTCTAGGCAAACCACCATCTATGGATCCCTCCGCGACCGGGCCGGATGAAGAACCTACTCAAGTCGCACCGTCAAGATCGTTCGGCGGGCAGTCCGCTAACTCGACGATAAGGGCAGACCTAGCGGTGAACAATGACGGTCTGGTGTTCCTCTCGAGCTTGTTCTACCCTCACGGGTTTTCTAGAGCGCAGACAGATATACTCATTGGCGCCATTACTTCACTCGGAGGCACCATAGCTACATCGCTATCAGCTATCTCGCCAAAAAGCTCTTCCAAACCATTTTCACATCACCTGCTCGTGGTCCCGCAAACTTCGAAACCCGAATCACATCCAACTATTCCCGAGGGAGTCGATATCATCACTGAGTTCTTCATTGAGAAGTGCATGCATAAGAAACAGTTCTTCGAACCAAGAGATCACGTTATCGGCAGACCGTTTCCAGTCTCTCCTCTACCTAGCTTTGACAAACTCAGCATATGCACTGCTGGCTTCACCGGCCCTGATCTGAACCAGGTCTCCAAGACCATCAATCAGCTAGGTGCTAGCTACGAAGAGAGGTTCACCCAACAAAGCTCAGTCTTGGTGTGTAGCTCCTTAAAAAGTGTTCGCAAACAGAAGCTCGATCTCGCCTTGGTGTGGCGAATCCCTGTGGTCAGCGCGGATTGGCTGTGGGAATGTATATCCACAGGGCATAAGGTTCCCTTCAATAAGTTCATGTTCCCGGAGCTGAGGCAGAAGATTACCCCTGAGAGGGAGGATGTACCTCCTGAGAAGCGGAAGCCTGCCTTGAGCAATCAATTCGAATCAGGAGCGAAGCCACACAAACAACACATCCGAGAAGTTGACATGTCAGCCTTTGAAAAAGACTCGATTGGGCCGGTGAAACCGCAGGCTCCCGAGATTTCGAAGGAAGAGTCAACCACAACCGCCCATTTCGAGACTGCACCCACACATCAAAGTAACGAGAGTACGGGCTCTGGCCGGGGGTCTGTTCCTCTTTCGGAGAAGTCAGCTAGTGCCCTGAACAAATCGCCTAGTCCGCGTAAGCAGGGGAAGCAGCCGATCCCACGAAAGTCTCTTGCGAGAGTTCGGAGCGAAGTCTGTGATTCAGAGACCCAGGATGATGAGGATTACACTCCTAACCAGTATGACGGTCCCGTGATGGCTGATGCGGAAGAGCAACCTGATGATATTGGAACGAAGTTGTTAGAGAAGGAAAAAATAGCGGCCGCGGAGCGCATTGCCCTATCATCACGGCTGACTACTCTTTTAGAAGCCACGGGTAGTGGTGGCGCCACCATTAGCTTCGAGAGTGTCTCAACCCGAGAAGAAGATTTTGGCCCCTCGGGTGTAAGACCGGGCGGAAGAAGAAAGCGTGGCATCATGGGCCGCGCGATCAGCAACGTCTCTGTTGCATCGACAGGAAGCGTTGACTCATCGAGTGGCGCGGCAGGCGGCAAGTCTGCCTCTGCTGTGGCGAGCTTCCCGGTGAGCGTGGCTGCGGACGGGCAGGATGAGTCAACGCAAAGGGGTCCCTCATCGACACAGATCGAATATGAGGATCCGGAGGCGAAGAAATCCAAGGCGTTACTTATGAACAAGATGCTTGGCACGACTGACGTGAGCACAAGCGCTATTGTCGATCCAGATAAAGGGAAGATTACGCTCAAGGATATCCAGGGATTCCCACGAGAGGCTGAGGTCATGCCAGGACGTTCGGGACGGAGCATGCGCCGGCGATGAAAGGACATTGAACGAAGTCATGTTTTGAATTCCAGTGAGTATTTGGGTAAAGGGAAATGTCACGGATTGCGAGGTGTATCAGGAGTATGTTTCAAGGGGTATAGGCCAAATTTATCATATTGGTATATCATTCGCCCAAACTCCGAATATACAATGAACTCTTATGCCAGAACGAAATGTTCAAGCTGGCGTTGACCATTTTGAAATTCCTCGATGGCCCGGCCATACATGTAGCCGTCAACATAGATATCTCCCACGTAATGCCATTCAGCACCTTTCTTCCGGAGAATGATGGGAGTTGAGCAGCCAAGGGGTACACAAATAGTATCACCTGGGCCAAGATTGCCTGGGCCAAGACACAATAGGCTGTCGTCTGAAATGCAGAATCGCCTGCCAGCTATGGAAGACTCGATATAGTCTGCCCAGGTTCGTTCTCTGAGCGAGTCCGTCAACAGAGTCGGCTCCTTAGCATAAGCTTCAAGCTGGGCATCAAGGCGCAAGCTGGGAAGTTTTTGGCTCAGAAAGGTGGCGAACACGCGGTAAATCCAGTCCTTCCACTCAGCATCTGTCCAACGAGTAGTCTCACGAGCTCCGTCCAGGCAGATAACTCGACAGAAAGCCTCATGGTCTTCTGCCTTGTTGCCTCGCTCTTGAATGAGATACGCACGCCATTGAAGGAGTGCTAGAATTGCTGCGCTTGTTCCTAGCGGCACGGCAACAGGAACTCCACATGTCTGTATGGTGCCAATTTTGACAGCTGAAATCATAAGCTTCCGCCGTTTGGAGAATAAATGGAATACGGCCTCAGTGTCTTCCGAGGCGCGAAATTTGCGAGTGCTTGAGAGCGGCACGACTGGTGAACCATGAGACCAATATGGCACCCAAGAGGGGAAGCCTTCCCTTGCCCCATAATCGACATGAGAGTGTATTGTATGGCAAATGACATCAAGACGTCGAGTGGTTGTCAAGAGATAGTCCACAACATCGGTGTATAGCGCTCTGACGGATAACGTATAGTCGACAACAAAATGAGCTTGCACTTCGGGTGATAGAATTCCGAGGATACCGTATACCCTGTCCCTAGGATCGCAGCATGCCTTTCCTCCATGATAGTCTAGTGCCTTCAACAAATCCATATTCTTGCTTGCCAGAAGTGCCGGGACCTAATTGCAGGGCTTCAGGTACCGAATTACCTTTATAAGATGGGGTCGTACACTCCCTGCCACGATTATCGATGCGCGGGAAAGCTCGTACAAGATCTGCCTGGTACTTAATGAGACATACCGACGCTTTCTTGTATGTTTCCCAGGGCAATTTTGATGGGCCACAGTAAACATCCACAGCTCTGGCGTTATGGATCTCCTGAATCACCCATAGTCTATACCAATAGTCTCTTTCAAACAGGCCCGCCAATGAACGAAAGTCCTGAATACGCGAAGGTGAGAATATGATACCACGTATATCGCCGTTGTTCTTATCACTACATGTCACAATGTCATCCAGCAGCTGAATAGCTAAGTTGCTATCCTCGGATTCCGGACCAAGCCACATGTTGACCGATGTAGCCAAGGCATAAATATTGATCATTGATTGAACCTGATGACTTCTCTCGTTGATGTCTTTCTGGTTTATGCAGACCGCATCCACCCATATAAGCACTGGGCAGGTTCGGGAGCGTAATCTAGCCAGCGCATACCATAAGCTGAGAGTGATAGGGAATTCATGTCCGTGGAGTAGGATGGTACGAGTATCTTCTTTATCACCCCACGCATATGACAAAGAAACGTATGAAGGAGGTTGTCGTAGAGATGCTACAATGAGCTCACACTTAATATGAGATGTCGTTTCCGGCAGGATTTTCAAAAGTCTAAACTCGTGTTTGTGACTGTTGAGAGTTGTGTAATGAAATGTGGTGTCACCAAGCCGTCTAAGCGCTGGACTTGGAGATCGATTCATATGCATAACTACTGATGAGAAATCTATAGATGTTCTCTGGCGGACTTTGTCTGTCGGTTTTGTGTTAGTGTATCCGTTCAAATCCGGGGGCTCTTGATGCACCCTACTCAATTCCGATTCATAGGCATTCACTCCTAAAGCCTCTTAGTTCACAGTTTTCGAGAAGCCTGAGACTCGGAAGATAACATACGGTATACCTGGTGCTCAACTGCGGCCACTGCCTTTCCTTTTGAAATGAAGCGTGCATGACTTGATCCTGGGCTTGCTTCTTTGATATTGGGTTCCCACGATCTCATCTCTACAGTGGCCTTTGTTGTTACGAGACGTGCATATCTTTGATACCCTCTTGTTTCCCTCGATCTTTGCTGCTGATCCGATTGAGGCTGTGGCCGAACCGGTTTTGGCCTGACATCCTGCCCCACGTCGCGTTTGTAGTGACGGGGAGTTCTGGGAAGACAGGAATATCCACCGAAATTCATCTTTCAAATAATGGCTGATGCATTCATTGAGAGTTTGGAATTATCTCGAGAAGAATCTATCTGTGAGTGTTGGGTAGTGATCTCGTAAGGCTTCCTGCAGGCTTGCTGCCCAAAATCGACGCCATCAGGTTAGGCGGACTAGTTGTCCAATTTTGAGGCAGCCTTGTTGGGTTGTTCAAAGCAAGATTCCTCACGACTACTGTAAGGTGCCAAAGTTTAGGCATCCCGGTCAGGCATTCTTTTTCGAAGTCAATATACCGTTGACTACCAAAAGCACCTGATTTACCGGTGTTACCAGTTACACTGTGGTAATTGTCTCTCACAGCACTGTCCAGACATTCATCAGCTACATTTCATTATGCACTGCAGGGTCAAGCTCGAAGTATGATGCAAGAATGTAAATGAGGTATAATCCTTCAGTCTGGGTATCTTTTATGGCCCCCTGTCCTGCTATCTCAGCTGTAGTGAGTAGATACTGTACATCTGTTGTTGGTTCTTGATACATCAATCAACTTGAATATCTCAGTAATCCATATCAATCAAAACATCATGTGAATCGTAGAAAGTCGTCAGGCTGGAAAATGACAAATGAAGAAAGGAAATTTTTTCAAAGTGACTGGTATCATTCCATAAACCATCCATCCATACCGTGTCCCACCATTCATACATTGCCAAGAGCCGAAGACAAAAGCTCTGCCCTGCCGGCTTTGTGAAGCAGCGAAAAAGTCTGCCTCTATACAACGTCTCATTTGCCAAAGGGGTATCTTGTGGACGGAGAACGCTCATAGACCAGTCGCCGCCTCAGTGAGGACGCTCAGCAGACTGGCAGCCGCACCGCCGATGCCCACCGCGCCGAGGGTCTCGCCCCAGACACGCTTCTTGGTGCGTTTGTCATCACGGCGGTCTTGCGGGTAATCCCGCTCTCTCTCGTCCCTTTCACGGTCGCGTTCCCGCTCTCGGTCACGATCACGATCACGGTATCTATCACCTCGAGCCCGCTCACCACGATCAGAGCGGTGCCGCCTGTGTTCCCGGTCAGGGTCTCGGTGTCTGTCCCGGTGATCGCGATCTCTCTCGCGAGACCTATCTCTGTCCCCCCTATCTCTCCGCCGATGACGATCACCATCACGTCGACGATGACCATCTCTGTCTCTGTCATCACGCGAGGACCTGTGATGTCTCTCGCCTGATGCCTCGCCTGGAGAGATCTCACGCGGGCCGTCCTTATCAAACCGCACGCGATTCTCGTTCTTATTCTTCAGGATTGGCTTCGGTTGCACCGTGCTCGCAGGGCTCGCCTTGCTCTCATTGTTGCTTGATGGCGGCGGGACGATGAAGGGGTACACCTTGGTGCCTTTCTCGTCCTTGCCCTCTTTCTCGTCGCCGCGATGATGTCTCGGTTTGTACCGCTCCTTGTTATATCCTTGGCTGTCGTCATCGTCACTTGTGTCAGATTCGTCGCACAAGCTGTCGCTGTCCGAGTCACTGTCAGACACAGCCCGCTTGCCGTTACTGCGGTGCTTCTCGTCCGGATACGGTGGGTTCGGAGCCCGAGCCGCGCCGCTGAGACCACCCCGTGAGGAACGCACTGCAGCGGACTGCCTCGCGAGCTCTTGGATCTCCTCTCGGCTCAGTGTGCCGAGCACAGCGACGAACTCGGGACGTGCCTCGTAGCGGAAGCCAGCCTTGTCAAGAACCTCAAGTGAGACAAGCCTACGGCTGATCTTGGTCCACTTAGCCTCTAGAGGAATTTCCTGCCCATGGCTGTCGGGTGCAAGCTTGCTGTAGCGCTGTGGCATGGCGGACGCCGGCGTAGGGCTAGTGCCGTACGCGGGAGGCGGCGTCATACCCATCTGAGATGAGGTTGGGCTGCTCATGTACGGCGGCAGAGGCGGCACATACCGCGGAGACAAGCCCATGAGAGCCTGAGTCTGTGGTGATGACGAGAGTTGATGATCAGGGGGATATGGGGCTGCTTGAGGAATCTGGATTGGATGCAGGGGCTGAGGAGCCGGTAGATAGCGGTTGTTGGGAGACGTGCCCGGAGATGCATTGTAGTTCGGAGGCATCAAAGCGGGCTGAAGGTGGAGGCCATTCATCTGGGCTGCCAGATGATCCGCCTGCCGCCGGTCGAGAGCCATGAGGTCCCGGGTCGAGATGAGCGCCCACTGTTGATTGCTGCTAGAGTCTGAGTCCGACTCGGATGAGTAAGGCTCATACGACAATCCCGTACTTTGATTAGACATGTGTGGAACTGGCGGCGGAGGCGCCTGGTGACCCTGCAACTGTTGAGATGGGTACGGCGCATAGGGATTGTGCTGATGCGGGCTCTGCTCGGGCTGCCGCCTCTCATACTTAAGACTGGGCATGAACTTCTCATTTTCGAGATTTGGACCCACCATCTCCTTTGGACTCATATCATCACCATGGGAAGGATAAGATGCTGGAGTGATTGCCACTGGAGGAGGGGCCGAAGAGTCCATAGGATATGGGGGATAGGGTGCATGGGGCCGCTGGTCGAGCAGACCCCTGACAGACGGCGGACTGCCGTTGTCCAACAGGCCATTGGAGTCGAGCTCCCGGATATATGCACGCAAGACCTCCTGTGCCACGTTGTCAGTCAACTATCACAAATAATGATTGCCAGCGTGCCCTGCACGGGGTAAGCGATGCACATGCTTGCTTGCGGTGATACAAGCACAGCATACGCGCGAAGAATAGGATGGAACATTCGACGAACAACTCACCTTGTTCTTACGGAGCACCTCGCTCGAGAAGCCCTCGGCAACTAGCTCGGAGCAAAACTGCTGCCACATATCCTCCTCGTTTTCGCTGTTTGCCCCACTGCCCCGGCGTCTGAAAAGTCTTGAGGCAATGGCGTCCACTTTGTCCTTGATCGAATTGAGTTGCCGATCATCTGTGTTCTCGAGGTCTAGGGGACGCGGTGCCCTGCTCGGGTTGTGCAACTGCACCGTGTCCAAGAAGATGTCGATGTTGGTCTTCTGGTTTGCCAGCTTGGTGCGAATCAGAGCTACCATGTCTCTCTCGCGATCCTCCATTCCCTTGATTGCTCGCGCGTGGCCATTTCCGGTCGCGTTGGCCTGCCCCCTCTCTGCATCGTCTCCGCTGCTGTCAACCAGCCCATATTTCTCGAGGATCGTGTCGAGCTGCTTCAGCGTAAAGTCGCAGTCCTCGACGATCGGCGTGAGTTGGCGTGCGTAGACGGACGACTCGCGCTGGTTGCTGTTCAGCAGGCTGTCTGGGTCTTCGGCCTCGACGCGAAGGTGCTTGAGCACCGTGTGAAGAGACCGGACGACCGTCGCGATCTCGCCAAAGTCGGGGCCCGAGGCCCGTGCCCGCCGGTAGAGGTTCCGGGCATTCGCATCAACTGCGGCTATCGAGGACGCGGGTGTGCCGTCGACTGTCATCTGGAACTTTGGGTCCGTGACCGATGATGTAAGCGGGTCAAGGTTCTTGAGTCGGCACGACTCGTAAATCCCCCGCCGGGACTATGTCGGTCGATGCGTGGCCTGAAGAGGCTCGAACGCTGGTTGGGAGTGTGAAGCTATCGCAGTCTTGAATTGTTGTAATGCCAAGTTGAGGGTAGATGGTGTAAGAGGGAGATAATGTGGTAAATATCCAGAGTTGGGCTAGAGTCGGACAGCGTGGCTATGCAATAAAGTATGTAATAAGATCGGGTAGGAAGGGATGGGTAATGCAGTCAGATAGACCAGGGTTGTCAGGCCGGCCGTCTGAGCCCTCAGAGGTAAGGCCGCGAGTGTGGACTAAGAATCAGGAACAGGATTCGTTAATCCAAGCGGCGTAGCACCAAAATATCAAAGCCGTTCTACAGGAGCACTGGTGCACACTGACTGACGACAAGCTGGTTTCCGTCAACGTGCAAGCGAGGGTGTTGAGTGATCATTCGAGATGAAGAAGGACGAAAAGTTGGCCAAGGCTGTATGTAGAGGGAGAGGTTCGTTTGGAAAGTCACTTGAGGAAAGCGAAATTCCATCCCTCCGGGCAATCAATACTTGGTAGGCCTAGTCTACTGGCAAGGTACACTACAGCTTCGCTAGACGTAACGTAAGTGGTTGTTCTTGATATTGTCATCGACACATGGCACACAGAGCATTCCCTGAAGGGCACACGAGTGGCCGCACTGCACATCCGAAACAGAGCGTGATGAGACGAGCCAGGGCTACGGGCTGTTTTGCCCCCTCCGCAGAGACTTGCAGGAACAGCAATGATGCTCGCCAGGAGGATCGGAGCGTTGCTTCAGTCCTAGCGCCAGAGAGTTGGAGGGTGTGTGGACGAGGCCCTGGAGGATATGATGATGTACAGCTCGGTAGCGCCCAGAGACTCGGAGCGAGGTGGACTGCATAGTCGAGGAGCAATGGAACGTGTGGAGAGGAGGGGTGGGAGTCTGATTCTGGGTGACGTCTTTGCTCAGTGGGCATAACATCATAATCCGGGCTGGAGTAAGCATGCCCCAGACAGGGCTGGCCAATAACGAGATCCTGCTGACAAGGGTCCCATGGCTCTTCACTTTTCAAGCCACGACCGGGGGGTTCAGCCATGTTCTTGTCTATCTGGGTGGCCGTCCTTGTCTCCTCCTCGGCTCTGTAGCAAGAGCAATGATGAGCCAGCAGGCCACCTTGCTGGTCGTCTAGACGGTGGAAGTCTTGCAGGGCAAGACGCACAATGCTCTATCGAGTAACGCCTATCAAACTACGATACTCCCACCATGCAGCAGACCCGTTGTCTGATCACTGCGCCACTCGCCTGGGTCCAAGCTGTTTCTCGCCCATCGCCGGAGCGGAATGGAATCTTGCTTGGCTTTCAGGGCTTTGTGGAGTCTCGCCCAAGGCCCCAAACTCAGATGAACGCATGGCATTTCGGGTGGCCCCGATCTTGATTCTAGTTTGAACAAACAACTGGGGCTCTCAAGCAGGAAGGATTCCCCGACCATAACTAAACCAGCGGCGTTAGAAACGGAAGTAAAAAAATCAAGGCCGAGGATGCTCGCGTAATGCGCTGGGCACAAACTCGTACACTGGATGAATGACAACTCGTAAATGATCGGCTAGCATTCCTGGTCAATGGGCTAGAAGCCTAGAAGTGCCCGAAGAAAAAATGATGACACGATAATTCGAAAAGTAATTAACGGTAGCGTATGGAACAAACACGAACGGCACGATGCTGCACGCTACGAGGCTGTGGGAGCGTGAGAGTGTCCAGCCAGAGGGCCACCCGTGTTTGCTCTTGTGGCTGTTTGGCTGACGGTGCTCCACGATATCAGTCACAACGCGGCGGCCGCAGGCACAGGCCGCTTCAAGCAGTCATCCCTTCTTTCAACCGTCCATCCTGACTGGAATACTTTGAATTACTTAAGGTGAAGGGAAGATCTCCGCCTGCAAGCCACGCCTGTTATTGCATGCAATCGGCAGTACCAGCGACAACCGCGCCCGGTGCTTAGAGGCTGTAGATAACGTGTAGCTGGCCAAGTGCCGGCCGTCTTGTTGACAGACACCCGTTGGGATCGCCGGGCGGCGGAAGCCCAGATGCAACCCTGAGCACCGATCAGTGGGAGCATGTTGCCGTTCTGGGTCCTTTTTCGCCTTTAGGAAAACGAAAAGTAACAAAGAAAGAAAAAAAATTTCAACCTCGAACAACGCCTCGGCACCGATTGGGCCACGAGGTCTGAAACTCGCCTTGGACTATTGACTGTGGGCTGCTGCACGACATGAAGGATCTAACAAGGTAGAGCTTCTTAGACTCATTAGGGTAGGCAGCAGATTCAAAAACCCACTAAGACGAGTTCTTATTTATTAGGAGGTGTTCGTGCAGCAAGCCACCATGCATTGGTGGCCGGCAGTGTAGAAGCGTCGGGGCCACTGAGCGGCTCCACGGGTATTGAAAGCCAGATCGGAGGCCGCGCCCGAGCATTTTCAACCCTTTACTCCCCCACAGACCACTGCTGCATGGCGCTGTAAGTTATGCCAGTTGAGACGAGACACTTCACTTTCAGCTCCAAGCCTAAACCTGGGGGCCCTTCCCGGAGGCTGTGGCTGCAGCTGTCTCGGACTCCGAATGAAACGTCAAGTAGAAACCTTGCGATGGCTGATATTGGGCGCGCTGCGTCAATCGACTGAAGCCTGGCCTGGACCAGCCTATGCAATGCCAGGCTTCGGAAGTGAAAACTCACACCGACTGGTCATCATGAATTACCAAACAAAAATCAAAAGATGATTCTTCGAAGCCTGGCCGAGTCATCCGCGCTTCATAGTCATTGCTCTCGGCGAGATTCCAACGGGATCCACCTCGTGGTAAGCCTGGGGAGGGACAAGCCCAGAATGTTGTGACCCGTGTGTAACCGTCTTGATCGCCGCCTCCATTGGACCATGCCCCTCAAGGCGCGAGGCTATGCTGTGCAATGCGGCTCTTCTGGCAAAATACCAAATGGAAATGACACATTCGGCTAGCCACCGCTGAGGGGAACGTATGTTGCCCCGTTTTCTCCTATATCGGACAAATGGAATGGATCACGAAAACATGATTATTCGCATGGCAGCATGGGAGACCCGGATCGATACGCGGTGTGGATGACATATCCCTGGGCCATGTGGTCAGGCTCCCGAGATGCTCACCAGATCAACATGATGGACGTTAGAGAATGGGTCTTGTGCCCCGATCGCTACCAGGTGATGCCTTGCGAACTCGCTCAAAATTTGAAATTAAATCACCATATCACGGCTTAAGGAAAGCTTGTCCCGGGAAATAAAATCCCCCGATAGAGCTCACCGAGCCAGTTGTGCAAGATCAGCCTTGGTGAGCAGAGTTATTTGCCGTGATGATGATGGGCTCTGTATCTATGGGTCCTATCGAGTCCTACATTGATGATTATCACAAACATGAGGCGAAACTGCAATGGGTCAAATTATCGTGATTTGAATTTCGATAGGCTCGCAAGCCTTGTTCGTAGATAGTATCATGATAACTCTCTGAGCCTCCCACTGATGTCTGCTTCAAATGACAATGCGCTCCAGCGAGTAGGCCTGGACCTTCTTGCTGATGTGCGAGCCGACTTCTCTCTTGCTCCTCGTTACCACCTCACCATTCGAGTATATCTTCTCCGCAGATATTTTGTTGTTCGCCTTCATGCCTAGTGGAAGCATGGCGGATTCGGCACTGTGAATTGGTTTAAGCTCCCGTGTCTTCAGATCTCTGGAGACAAGCGACTTGTTCTCGCCTGCTTTCCGCGGCTTGTAAGCAGTAACAGCCAACGCGCTGGAACCGAATCTTGCCGCCTCGGAGATGATGCCACGTAGGAAGACAGCCTCTTGCACGCCTTCTAGCGCAGCGCTGACCTCAAGTTTCAGCGAGGCAAGGAAATCTGCACCGTCGAAATGATCTCCTGTACCGGCGGAAATGATCGCATCGTTTATAAGCCACCCACCCGGGCCAACTGAGTCTATGCACCGACAGAGTAAGTCGGCAATCAGACGAATGCTTCCATCTGGAGGTGGCTCCAGGTCTTCGGCCTCATCAAGGCGAGTAGTATCGAGATATCGTGTCGTCCATCCATCCTTTACAAGCTCCATTCGTAGCACGTAGATAAGCGAAAGGATCTCTTCAGGCTTGTAATGCTGGCGGAGGAATCTGATGGTCAGGATGGGGGGACAGCTGCCCAGTTTGCCAAACGCAACACTCAAGCCCTTAGCCCGAGTGCTGGACTGGTCACCCAAGTAAGACTCTGTTACTTGGATTTCTTGCTCGAGGCGATCAAGTTCCATTCCAATCTCGCCGTACTCACCGGCTTCACCGTCCTCGCCGTTTGTAGGTAGTTCGTGAGAAGAAAAGGTAAGCAGTTTGGGAGCCATCTTTGTAGGATCTTGAATGAGCTCGAGACTCTGCATGATTAACCTAACCGAAGTGAGAAGCTCAACCTCGCCAAGCTTGGTGGAATAGAGATAAGCCAGGAGAAACTCAAAAGTTGGCTCCACCTGGACAAGCAACTGCGGGATGGACTCTCCAAGAACAATATCAATATCGTCCACATCTCTGACCTCGTTCTTGAAGGCTGACTTGAGGTTGGATACGGTGAGGTGGCCAGCGTCAATTAAAAAGTTCAAGAGGCTGCTCTCCGGTAGCTGACACTCAAGTCTGAGGCCACTGTCACTGTTGTCCTCCGAAGCATGCCACGCGAAGACTCTTGTAATGGCGTAAATGATCCAACGTCGGTCTGCTCGAGGGTAGTGTGAACGTGACTCTGGCCAAACCCAGTCAGGCAATGCAGCATCAGTCTTGTTTACAGCTTGAGCGTCTCCTGATACAGAGTGAATGCCATTGGTGAGCTCTTCGGGTTTTCGTAGCTCGATCCCAAACTTGCCGGCGAGAAGTTCTTCAAAGCCGGCCAGGTTCTTCTCTGCGTGAAGCTTCTCCGCTGCCTCCATATCTTGCTCAAATTGGTGCCAGTAGTCTCCCGTAACGGATCCAGGTATATACTCCGAAAATGTATGAGATAGGTGGGCAGCTGTTCTTTTCTGTGGGCGGGTAGGACCAGGAGAGAGCGCACGTCCGAGAGAGTCAATTAATAGTCCCTCAGCACGACGCTTTTTGCCCCGTGTCTTGGGTACCTCTAGCTGGACGGCAATCAACGAAGCACCGTAGACAGCGACGGCTAGCTCAGTGCGAGCAAAGTATGCGACTAGATCGAGCGGGAGAGTTTCTGCGGGTTCTGTTTGGGAAGAGAGACCTAAAGCTGTCGACGCCTGGAGTGATTTGAATACAGGGTTATAGACGTGCAGGGAATCCGGAGTCGCTGCTAGGACCGTTGATTTTGATAGACGCAGGAAAGACTTGACTCTAGAGAGCTGCAAGTGTTGATCCAACTTGATGACACTGTTGGCAAGGTTGTAGGTGAACAGACTACCTTGTCTTAGTTCGAGCAACGAGCCAGAAGCAACGTCTAAACGATATGTGGAGGAACCAGTCGAGGCACCGGGAGTTGAAAACGGAGATGTGTGTATCTGGATCACGTTCGCACCACTTTTTGTGTCCTGGCTGCCTCTGAGGGCGAGGAGATGCACATGTCGTGCATGACTATCTTCGGATATCGTTTTAGTGACAAAAACCAAGATCTCTGGATTGTATGCGTCCGATTCAATCTTCTGAGATAGAGCACTGAAAGCGTCTCCTTTGCCTGCAAAGAAACCCTCGATTGCATCGGTCGCCTGTGCTGCCTGAACGGCTTTAACCTTCAGCGTGTCTTTCTTTGATATGTTTAGATCTTGCCGGAGAATATCTGATGAGGAGCGCCAGTGCTCCTGTAAGGTCTCCCCATTCAAACAGAAGACAGTACCATCTTCCGCGACAGCGATTAGATCTGCTACAGGGCCATCTTCAATATCAGGCGATCGGTGAGCATTGGCGGAAGAGCTAGTCGCAATGTGGATTATTTTGCTTCTTTGGCCGAGCGCTCGAGAGACGCTTGTAGATGTGCTGTGCCCGGAGGCTTCTACTACGTCCTTGAACAAAGTAACATTAGCGGTCGGTTCCTGCGTAGAGATGTAGGTATAGCGGGCGATGGCTTTGGTCTTTGAAGACTTGGACCTTAAAGAACATGGCGGGCAAGTGAATGTCGATTGCGGTGGAATAGGGTAAGATGTGACGAGTCTCGAGGATGGAACCTATGAAGGGTCAGCTTGGGCTATTAATTCTTGCGAAGGTATCATTCGCACATCGTAAATATTGGTGGCTTCGCCATCAATGCCCACCACCAGTTCTGCCCGCCGTTTCTTCTTTGAGCCTGGTTGTTGGCCCCAGACATCGCCGACCGCATATGAGCCTCCCGAATGGTTCAGTGGCTTCGGCAGTGCCGTCAGCACATATGGCTTCTGGATATTGAAAGATGCGGCCATGATGGGCACATTGGTGGCTGGCCGGTGACGCTGCTCTGGAAGTGAAGCTGTTTGGGAAGCTTTAAATTATGCGGCGGGCCGTCAATTGGTGATAGACTTCAGAAAAAAATTCCCAGCAACGTTAGCGGCCAGCCAATCCCATCTAACAGGGTGGATCTCGAAATGCTTATCGGTGGTTATCGCACCCACCCCACATTGAAGGTTGAAAGTCAACAGAGGAGGTCGTCGCTTCCATTATGAGTCTTGTTTGTTATAAAGACGGACATTGAAATACAAATCTTTGATAATAACCAGTTTCATAGCACCTACATGAATTTCAATCCAATATGCCCCAGTCTACGTTATTCTCTTGGGCTAAAGGCCTGGAAGCGTCCACACCAGGGCTGCGCTCTGCAATTTGCGCAAGCAAGCACTTACCTGTGAAAAACACATTTAAATATCCAAACACCGCCTTCACGAGCACTTGAAGCCAACTTACGTTCAGAACTTCGTTCTTCTCCTAGCATCTCACCGCAAATTTTCTCCCTCTGGAGATCCAATCTGTCTGTAACAGAGTCTTGGATATTCCTAATTTCATGTGCTGGAAACTGTAACGACAAGTTTGCGGACTCTAGTCTAAGACTAGCTAGGTGAAGTTTAGAAGGGCAAGCGTATCGGTCATGGGAAATGCTGAAGAACTTAGAAAAGAAAGAGGATATTCTAATATTCAGACTCATCTTGAGAGAAGCTTTCTATCTATCAGGGGAGCCTCGGAAGACACATGCACTCCCTGAGAAGTCATCATCTCGCTCACAACTCCCGAAAGCATCGAAGGTGCAGGTACATGTAAGGGAGTTTTCCACTTCGGTCAAAATACCTTGGTTTTGGGCAGCGCGTTCAGCGCTGTGGCCGGGTCAGTGGGGCAGGGGCAGACTTTCTTGTGCTGATTGGTGGGGTTGCACTTGTCAATGATCTCACTGAATTAAATGGCAGTCGCGACGCGCTTACCTTCCACGCGATTAACTTTACGCTCAGGCAGGTACTCCAGAAGCATCTCGTCTCTCTGACGAGTCCTCAACACAACCTCACTTCACTAATCCCCCCTTTATTCGAGGACACTGACTGACCCTCATACTACTTCTCTGCACATCAATTATCTGATAATCATGCTCTTGATATATTTTTAAGACTTCTCCCATCGCAGCTGTAGCGCCAGGAAGTTACTGTAAGCCTGCATTCTGCCTGATCCACACAAAAGACAAACTTGGCCCCGACAGCACGGTCCAGCTTGGTGTTTCGATGTGTTCCGTTGCTGTCGACAGAATGTCCGGGGCGAGCATTGCCACCGGGGAGTCTAAGAAGCTACATCCTTTCTTTACAGCACCGAGAAATCCGACCAGAGACTTGGCCTTGACGAGCACACCCGGTGCCAGTCCAGGTGATACTCCTGACACACCTCTCGATGACGGATACAATGGTGTTACGGACCCGGAGGTGCCTGAGCAAGGTGATCGCCGACGAAAACGGCGGAAGACAGATAATAATGAGGAACAAGACCTGGACGATATGAAGAAACCTGGCCGACCAAGAAGGAAGACAAAATCACTTGGTGGCAACATCGCCAGTCATTTCGTCCGACTGGACGGCGGTGACTCTTGCAATGATAGACAGGACCCCGAGGTTGTTGCGGACAGCCTGGCATCGGTAGTCGACACATCGCTATACCCGTTGTCGCAGGCCCCAGAGTCTGCTCTCAACGCAGAAGCCGCACCATCAACTGCAACCGAGGACGACAATCCAGTTTTCCACAAACATATCATAACGCCAAAAGCGAAGAAGATACTGCGATTCAACCCAAAGACAGGCACGATTGGCTCTCCACCGAAGCCAAAAGAGCAAGACATGGCGACCGACAAAGCCATGGCTCCGAGCATGAAAGGCAAGTCTCCTACGGGTAAAATCGTCAAAATAGCTTATGGGGATGACGACGAGTCTCGCCTTCGCATCGGCAGCAAGATCAACGAGGTTTTGGCTGCGAACAAGCCTCCCTCAAATTTACAGATGAAGGCTGCAACGCAAAGCTTGAAAGAAAAGCTGGAAACTTCAACTGGAAACACAGGAACAATGGGTGTCGACAACGCCTCCAAAGATACCCATCCATTCTTCCTGGGGAAATCCAAGAAATCTGAAGCAAAAGGGGACAAAGCTACCACGACATGCAAGCAGTCTACTGCCCCCCTCAAACAGTTCACCTCAACGCCCTGTTCACCCAAGAAGCCTAAAATTCCTGTAACGAACGTCCGATTACCACAATTTGGTGTCAAAACGATGGGATTGAAAGTGCCCGGGGCCCAGCTACCTGCGTGGCCATGGAAGGGCGCAGTGCATATTCGGGGAGAGGGAGTTCATCTTGAACACAAATATTCATCGCCATTGCCTCTAGCCCTACGCAAATCGAAAGGAAACACAATTCACATTCGCCAAGAGGAATCCGTCATAGACTTCGCTATAGGACAGTTGGGCATTCCTGCAGTCCTGGAAGCAGTTAGGAACATCGACACGGAGAATTTCCTGCCACCACCGCCGGAGCTTCGCCTTCCCGAGAAGCACTTTGAGAGTGGAGTGAAGTTGCAGAAGAGAATACTTCCACAACTGAGAACTGTTCGGCCAGACCAAAAGACGCGGCGCAGGTATAAATGGGACGAGCGACCACTCGGAGGAGATGCACTCGAGGCATATATCTCACAGTGCACAGAAGTCCACCCAGCTCTGGCCCAGCTATTTACTTCTGTCAAGGATTCACTCTCTGCGTTTGACCGTTCCTTGTGCGAATCAATGTCCTGGACTCAGAAATACGCCCCAACTTGCGCCACGGAGGTCTTGCAATCAGGCCGGGAAGCCTTCCTATTGCGAGAATGGCTTGAAACTTTGAAAGTACAGTCAGTAGATACTGGGACTGATGGCGATTCTAAATCCACTTCAGGACGAGCAAAAAGCTCTGCTCCTGCCAAGAAGAAGCGGAAGAAGAACAAGTTGGATGGATTCATCGTTGATAGCGACGAAGAGGCCAATGAGATGGATGAGATATCTGAGGCTGAGGATGATTGGACCTCGAACAGTGGTAAGGGTCCAGCGAAGAAGACTGTCATTCGAGCAGGTGACACGGCGGCCAAAGACTCCAAACGGCCTCCTCGCCTGACAAATGCTATAGTCATTAGTGGCCCTCATGGTTGCGGAAAGACTGCTGCCGTCTATGCTGTCGCCAAAGAGTTAGACTTTGAAGTCTTCGAGATCAACCCAAGCAGTCGCAGAAGCGGAAAGGATGTTTTGGAGAGGATTGGAGATATGACAAGAAACCATCTCGTCCAACATCGTCAAACAAACGGGCCTGCAATCGCTGACAGCAATGACATCATTGATGAAGAAGAGACGGCGCAGGATATCAAGTCTGGCAAGCAGGCGACAATGAATTCTTTCTTCAAACCAAAACCAACAGTTAAAACCAATCCGCCCAAGGTTGCAATTAAGCAAGCACCCGCGTTCCAGCCTGAATCCAAGAAGACATCACCTGCGAGCCAGAAACAGTCACTTATCCTGCTCGAGGAAGTCGATGTCTTATACGAAGAGGATAAGCAATTCTGGGTCACGGTTATTGGACTGATTGCGCAGTCGAAGCGACCCTTCATCATGACGTGTAATGATGAGAGCCTGGTTCCCTTGCAGACTTTGAGCCTCCATGGCATCTTCCGTTTCAGCTCGCCTCCAGTAGAAACAGCAGTTGACCGCCTTCTCATGATTGCAGCGTGTGAGGGCCATGCCTTACAACGTGACGCAGTTGAGGCGCTTTACGAGACCCGGCAACATGACCTTCGTGGTGCTTTGATGGATCTCAATTACTGGTGTCAGATTGGCGTAGGGGATCGGAGAGGTGGTTTTGACTGGTTCTATCTGCGCTGGCCAAAGGGAATTGACGTTGATGAGGATCATAATGTCGTCCGAGTTATCAGTCAAGACACATACTTGCCAGGCATGGGCTGGCTTGAGCATGAAGATGTCACTGAAGATATCAGCCGGACTACAGAGGAGAGATTGCTTGATCAGACCTGGGATTGCTGGACATTGGATCTTGGCGAGTGGCATAACACGCTGGATCTATCTTCATGGTCACGAAGATCAAGTTCGTTTCAATCGAGTCCACAAGGTCACCTAGCACTTCTAGAGGCTTACGACGAGTTCGCGGACGCTATGGGAGTGGCCGACTTATGCTCATCCAAGGCGTTCGCAACATCATTCAAGGTTTGATTTATGGGTTTGCTTTGTTTGGCTCGATGCTGACATCTACAGGAACCTATCGATTGCAGCCTTCCCGAACTGTCACCTAAGGTCCAAGAAGACTTCATAAGCGGACCTCGTCTTCTTGATGCCCCTGTGTTGATCTCGTACGATTCTTTGCCCGCTGCCATCTCAGTGTCCTTGAAATCAGCGGCTCGCAAGCATTTGCAGATCGTTCATGAGACCATCACAAGGGAGAACCCGCCTGAATTAGACGGACTCCGCGAGGGGACAGTAATATCAAACATTCGAGGGCACCTGTCGCAAGACATCATTGCAGAGACCGCCATTTCACGATATGATTTCAGCCTCGCGTTCGACCCTTTGGCTGTACCAGACAGGAATTTGCCTGGTTCTCAGGGAGGATCGGCTTCATCTCATCTCGACCCGTCGGTGTTCGACGGCACATTAACATCAATTACCGTCGATGTAGCTCCTTATGTTCGTAACATTGTTGCCTACGATACAAGGCTACAACAACAACGCTTAAAGCTTAGCAACCTGCTCAGCAAAGGAGGCAAGGGCAACAGCAGCAAAAGAATGCGGACGACTCGTGCGGCTTTATCGGCCATGGAAGGCGGATCTCGAAGTACTACACGGGCGGAAAGATGGTTCAAGGCTGATCTCAATAGCCATTTGGTCATGCGTACTGGTGGACGCGGCTGGGAAGCTGCTGTTATTGAGCAGGCGCGCGTCTCCGATGACAACAAGACGGTACGAGACCTTGATGACTCTGCCGATGAGCTTGGCGATAGCATGCAGGGGAGCTCTGACATGGAGAACTAACGAGATGAGCATCATTTGCAAAGCATATGGGGTCTGGGGCTAGCGCTTTACATGGGAGTTTAGGTGCTTCAAATACGGAGCTGCATTGAGACTCAAATTTATCCATAGTTTATTGCAGTTTGAGGCTCAAAAAGCCCCAACAATCAAAATCTAGCATACAATGTTGAAATGAGAAATAGACTCTTAAGTAGTCTCCAGCTCCCTTTCCCCTTGTGCCAAGAGCTACTTCACCAAACTCAACATCCGTCTGTCACAAGGGCTTCGCTCATAAACCCCAAATAAATCGAGCGTGTCTAATCTCTTTCGACCTTTCATGTGATCCATACGCTATCCATAAAAATCATTCCATCGTAACATCGTTAGCTTCAAATATCAATAATACCTATCATCCGCATACCGTCCTCTCGACTGTCGATTATCAAAATCACTGCCCCCATATGCATCAGCCGACGCCCTCCTGGCCTGCCACGGTTCAGCGTCCCGCAGAACGAACTCCTTCTGGCGCTCTTCTTCCTCATAGTAATAGCGGTTCGGCCTCCGCGACGCTGAGCTGCTCCGGGCAATGCTCACGCCAGCGGGAGGACAAGGAGGCGCCGACTCGACGGTGGCGTAGCGCTGGGGTGCGGGCGGGTAGTAGTTGGTCTCGCGCCTGCTGGTGCGGCGCTCGACGACCGCGCCGGGCGCGACGACGACGGGGCCTCTGTCACGGCTGAGGGAGGTCTGGCTCGAGCGATCGCTGAAGCGGTCCCGGTCCCGGTCCCGGTCCCCGTCTCGGTAGCGGTCCCGCATGTCGCGCTCGCGGTACATGTCTGCCTCTCTGCTCCTGTCCAAGTCTCGCTCCCTGCGTTCCCGCTCATAGTAGTACGGCCCAGCAGCTACACCAGCGCCGGCGCCGGCCGCGATCGCAACCCCGGGCCCAGGACCAGCCCTCCTGCCCTCGGCATACCTCCTCCTCTCGCCGGGGGGGCCGCTGCCGCCGCCGCGGCCGCCGCGGGGCGCAGACGGCTCGGTGGCGTCCCTCCGGGCGCTGCGGCGCTCGTCCTGCAGAGACTGCTTGGCGCGCTTGATCTTCTTGATCTCCTCGTGCTCCCACGCCTCCTTCTCGCCGTAGGTGACGCCCTTGGGCCACCACTTGTGCGCGGCGAAGGTGGCGGCGGCGATGGAGCCCAGGAAGACCAGCGACGTCTTGATGGCCGAGTCCTGCTTCTCGGCCGTGGTCAGGCTGCCGGTCCTGCTGCCGGCGCCGGGGCTGGAGGAGACGGAGCGAGAGCGGGCGCGGGAGCGAGAGCGCGAGATGGAGCGCGAGCGTGAGCGGCTGCGAGAACGGGAGCGGGAGAGGTAGGAGGAGGCGGGGGAGGGCGAGCGTGAGTATGAGGGGGAGCGGTAGCGGGGCATGATGGTGGTGACGGTTGTGGTGGTTTGGTGTGCTAATTGCTGATGTTGCTGACGCAGGGCGATCTGTATATGGAATTGGCAATTCTCCGGACTTTTGGATGAGTCCTAGATCGGTAATCTTGGTGAAGACTCGAGCGAGGCTTCACTCCTGTGTCACGCAATGTTCCGAGCCTCGCCAGCCTTGGTGGTTCTAGGAACCGCTTGGAGAGCTGAAACCAGAGAATAGTACGACAAGGAGACACTGTGCCTCTCTGAGGCAAAGGAAACTCGTAGATTGCCAAGCGTATTTGTGTAGATGACGACGAGGGGCAGAATCACTCAAGAAAAGGAGGAAAAAGGAAGGAGAAGCTTCGGGAAGAGATGAGGTAGGGACGATCGGATGCCGCTGTTTGAGGCGTCCGCGGGGGTCACAGTTCGTAACCGTTATCGCTATTCCGCGCCGCCGACGTGAAACCCCAAATGCGGTGAAGGGGAGTGGTGTGGTTCGCTGTTGGGTGTGGGTGTTGGTGTTGGTGTGCTGGTGTGGGCACTGCATGGACAGGAAGACAAGGATGCGCCGGCCACCAAACACGCTCACCGACAAAGCAGCCGGGCGGGCTGCAAGATGTTCGTGAGAAAACTAGTAAAATAGCTGCACGGGGATGAAAACGGTGGACCGGAATGTAAACTCATGAAGAGTATATAGATGCCAAGAAAAAGAAGACAATATATGAGAGACCGTCCGTCTGGGACGGAAGTCTTGGACGGAGGGAGCCAAGCTTTCCAGCCGTTGCGCTGGGTTCTGTCTGGGCTGTGGGACTGTGGGACAAAGAAACGTACGTCAGTCAATCGGCGGGAGGACGATCCCCAGACAAGCTTTCTCGCCCGGCCCTTGGCGCAGCTTGCCAGAACCTCCGTCATCCACAGTCACCAAAATCCCCTACTAAAAAGGCCTCCCGTCCGTCTGCCCGTCCCGTCCTCCCCTTCGAAGAAAGGAGAAGCCTTCTCGCACTTTCCCTAATGACGAAGCCCCTACATAGTAGGAGCTATGGGAGAGGGTTATGATATCACCACCACACTGCATAGTACATACCCATGATTACACCAGTCGGCGGGCTGGGTCATCCCTCCCAATCATCAATTACAGAGGAGGGGGATGCATGCATGGCACTAACATGATTAAAATTGGCTCCTCTCGCTGCGTTTCTGCACTTTCCAGCGACCAGGCCTCGGTTGGAGCCACCTGGATATGTGCTGGAATCGTGCCCTCGGACTGGCTGCCGCCCTCCAGCCACGCGTCATCGCCGGCCAGGGGACCACCGACTCTTTACGCAATCCTCACCTCCAAGGGACTGTGTGGCGCTCATTTGCTCTCATTGGTTGAGTGGCACACGTCTAGACATTGTTCCAGGTTTCGTCAGACCTTTGCGGTGACCGCACCTGTCGGACAGCCACAAATCGATCGCGATCCGGCTATCGTCTGGATTGTGCACTACACAGCCCTTGTTTCAGACGGGATGTCGATCTCTGCGTGCCATCACTGAAACACAGCTGCTGAGGTCATTCATGAAGTCCGAATTGACTACCTAGGCAGCGCTAGGGAGTCAGCAGCGACTAGAAGCCTGGATTTGCCTACATGCATTCCTGGTATTCACATAGTTTCTGCACTTATGGACTGACTTTCCTCATGATTAGCAAGGGGGAACATCAGCGAACCTACTGACACAAGGTCTCGGCTATCTGAAGCACACTGTTACGACTAGTGTAATTATTCATTTCGCGGATGAAGTTGACCTTCACCCCAGTCCTCTGCTCACACATTTGCCACTGCATTATTTGGAGCTGGGCTAGCTTGGTTGAAAGGCTAAAATTGGCGATATGGAAGATATACGGTGTGCTTGACAGGCACAGTCCGGCCGGCCAGCTCCTGATAGTAATCCGCTGTGTGGTTCAACGTAACCTGGCACTCTACGTGGCGTACGGTCGTCGCAGGAAGGTGTGCCGCCGTGATTGGGCAGACGTCGGGGTTGCGAGTCAAGCTATATCTATAGCCGATGATGTGGTGAAAAGCCTCGGTCTTCATAATCGTCTTCCAGCCTTCGGCATGACGAGACGTAATCGCTTATTATGCGACATAACGTTCGCGATGAAGACGATAGAACCATTGGGCCCTGACATCCGTTAGCATCAGCTCTCCATTTTCAAGGGTTCAGTTCCAAACGGAAACCCACGTGAAGTCACGGCACCCATTGGGAGTTGGATCATGTCCTGATTCCGTCCTGAGCCATGGCCCTGACTACTCTTGCGTTTCTCATCATGTCCTGAAGAGCCTTTGGTGAGGTATCAGCAATCGAGTCGGGCATGTTTGAAGATAGAGACGTAGCAACGAGTGAGCAAAGAACCTGTAAGCAACGGCGACTTGATATTTCCCATAGAAGTGTGTTCTTTGCAGACTGGGGGGGAAGACATGGTGCGAACGTCTTCTGCCGCGTTGATATAGCTGAACCGAATTCATTCACTGGAGGCTGGTTCGATCTCCTTCACTTGAATGCTGTGAAGTGAATTATAGATCGATCTTTGACTGATATCCACAATCATGGTGGATACCTAGTCGCAAGTCCCTTGACTTGAGGGTGCAGATAATTGCTGGTGCTTTTTCAATCCTCGTCTGAACGTTCCATTTGATAGAGGCACTTTAGTATCATCAATAGTACTTGGGTGTGCAGGAGTTATTATGATTTTACTAGAGCACAACTGGGCTAAATCTATCAGCCTTGCAATATCTACCCACAAACAAGAGAGGCTCACATGGTCACAAGGCACGAGAAAGACTTGGATACACTGTATAAGACGGGTTGTTCACCTAAAATGAGCCGGACGCACTAGACTATCATGCCATAGTTGTGCCGTATGAATCCACAGACAAACGGACTTGTGGAACTTTTGGTCGGATGAAAATTATTTGACTGGCGTAACTTCTATTTCTGCCTAGGCTTCTACATCTCAACAACTTATCCTACACCAAACTCTTCCTTGCTGAGTTCATTCTCTTAAACATTCATCAAATCACGTACGAACTGTACGTTGTATTTGATGCTGCTCCAAGAGAGCGCGCAGATTTCTTTGGGCATGCTCTGTTGATCGAGTCAAAGCTGGGGCTGGCGACAGGTGAGCGCAAGATGCCTACTTGGGCGAGACTTGTGCAAGGGCTCAGCTACGTGAGCCGCTTCGTTCAGGCCACACGGTACGCTCTGAGGAAGTCCATCGCTTCTTACTATACTAATGTAAGAATAGGGTTTATGAAGCTCTGATTCCGGCATGGCCGACGTTTCGCGTCGCAGCCATCGTGGCAGCTTTCGTACTCGGAACATACACGATCAGCTCATGCCTCAGAAAGCGGCTCCACATGCGCGATTCTTCCGATGCACAAAATCCAGCGCAGGTAGAAATCGTGCATCAAGGAGGCATCAAGGTACTTAGACACCACCTGCAGTCCAATCGACAATGAAAGACGGTTTATAATGCCTTATAGCTTCCAGATTGCGGCAAGATCATCGAAGCTGGAGCAAAGGAGTTACTCAAAGTCTATGATATCACGATTCCCTACTATGATAATATTCGAGGATTTCTCTTTGTTGACCCAAACTCGACAGATGGCGCTCGCTTCTGGGTGAAGTACGGCCATGCTAGCCAGGCCCTGAGATCCGAAGCACGCACTCAGGCGTACGTGTTTGCCGAGCTCTCAAGAATGAATCCTAAGACGAGGGGCCGCGTTCGGGTCCCACAAGTTCACTGCTTCTTTGAGGCCGAGATCGATGGAAACGAATTGGGATTCATTGTCATGGAATACGTGACAGGAATAGCTGTCAGGAAGATCGTGAACGAACATCAATCCGTCGTGGACGGCTATTACGTGGATAACGAGAAGACTAAACCGTTCAAAGACTGGTTTGTTGATGCCATCTGTCTGCTGCTGACTCTCCAGCCACCACCTGGCACCACTCCTGGACCTGTTGGCGGTGGCAGAATTTAACATATGGTATTCGGACTAGATAACTACGAGGCACCTCGAACCTTTGCCAACCTCGAGGAGCTTCAGGAATTTTTCAATAAGAGCAATGAGGAGGCAAGTTTCCACAGAGAATATCAGATTATCTCCCAGAGTACTAACGAGGACGTCACGAACAGGCCTTACCAGGATCAACGCCCTGCGATCTCTCCGCCGAGGTCTTCAAATTGTGCTACTGCGATCCCCACCTGTGGAATTTTCTGCTGGAGGATGAAAACGACGAGTCAAGCTGCCTGACCGTGATCGATTTTGAGCATGTAAGCTGGCTCCCTGACTATTTCTTGATCTGGGAGCTTTGGCGAAAGTGCGATCGCTACATGACAGAGCAAGTGCTGTCCCGTGCCCAGTTGGAGCCGAACAATGACAACATTGATGCGCTCATTGACTGGCATCTACGAAGGGTACGACGTGAGAGACTGGGATCGTTTTGAGAGGGAGAGATATCACCATAGAGCGAGCGGCTTCAGAGTTTGGCCGCATTATTATGGGCATTGCGATTTCGCGTTCGGTCATTTTTGGAAATCATACTTCGCCTAATAATTAATCGTACTAAGATTCTCGCACAGCTAAATGCTCAAGACACCAAAAAACTCGATTGATCATTTGCAACAATTGACGTGCACGTGAATATGGCCTCTGGATGCTTGAAACAGCAGCTCAAGATGTGTTAGGACAGATTGTTTGCACTCATCGAAATCATGCCTTGTGATGCGGCAAGGCAAACATTTGAGTGGCGACGCCTGCTATCAGGACTCGGCCAGAAGGATGCTCTGGCAGCAGGGTAGCGACCGCATCCGGGTCGGTGAACGTCGCTGGATTGATCGTCACCGTCTCCAACATACTCTGCTGGAAGATGCCTCCTCCCGTCCCAAGCATTCCAGGAAATATTCTAGAAGAATTCGGTGCACCAGGGTCTTTGTGCTGGATGCAGGGGTTGTCGGGACTCAAAATCCGGGGTATGGAGATGTTGCAGCTCGTTTCTGTTTCAGTCTGTTTTGCGGAGTGCACCCACAAGTCACAGAAGAAAGTCGTCTGCAGGGTAAGACACTGCCATGAAGAAGTCAAGAACTTCTAACCATACGAATAAAGCAATTGCCAAGCCAAGAAGTCTTTTGGTCCTTGAGGACGCTGAGCAAACATGCACGCTGTGATTGGATTTTGGCGGGGTTGACTTCCAGACCGACCGTGGCTGTAACTTGGATCAGACGAACGATCGCATTGATCCGGAACCCCTGAGCGGCCGGGTTCAGGCACGCAACCGAATCGCTGGCCATGCATTTACCACGTCTGTCTGATCATGCAGTCTGTGCTTCGAAGCTACAATCCCCTCCATATCTGCTTTCCTGGGACGGACTCATGGTGCAAGCCGATGAGGCAAATCAGAAAACAAACAAAAGGGGGCAGAATGCCGAGAGATGTGAATTGTGGAGTTTGTCCCGCTCTGTCCATCATCCAACATCCCTCGGTCGCGATTCTGCTCTCATCGAATCGACTTGACGTTCTTCAATACCCTCGATGTGAAGACCTTTGCCTTCTGCGCCATTAGCCAACGGCCATCGTGTAACGATTTAACTCTAACAACAAGCTCTGCCTCAAGCAAAACATGTCGTCGCCACTGCCTCCACCAACGCAGTTCCCGACTCTTACCCCGACTACTATCGTCCAGCTGCCACATGATGATTTCGGTCCTAGACTCAATGGCATCATCTGGTCCTTGGTCGCGTCGTCGGCTGCCTTTCTCCTTGCCCGAGTGTTCTTCAAGATCTCGAGGCACCGAGGTCTTGGATGGGATGACTATTTTCTCATTGCTGCATGGGTATTGAATTTGCGTGTAATACTCTAGGTCCTAATGTACTAACGTCTCAAAGATATCAGTCGTCATTCAGGCATGTTTCTCGTCAGCCATGATCAGCCATGGCTACGGAAAACACATATGGGACATTCCACTGAAACAGTTCACCGACATACTCCTGCTTGCCAACATCGGGGGCACATTCTTGATCTTTGCAGCTGTTTGGAGCAAGACTTCGTTCGCCATTACGCTGTTACGGCTTCTGCGAAACACAGACGGCTGGACTAAGATAATTGTCTGGTGTATCATCATCTCCATGAATGTGATCATGCACCTGTCAGCACTGTTCCTCTGGATTCAATGCATTCCTGTACAGAAATCCTGGAACCCACTCATCGACGGGAAATGTCCTTATATCGACATTCTAAACAATTACATCATGTTTTCGGCGGCGTACTCCGGAGCAATGGACATTGTGCTTGCCTTGCTCCCATGGAAGCTCATTTGGAAACTTCAAATGAGGAGGGAAGAGAAAATCGGCGTCGCAGTCGCAATGAGCATGGGAATCTTGTAAGTGGCGAGATGTTCGATGTGATCGTAGGATGGTATACTAACTCTAGTCTAATAGCGCTGGCATCACAGCAATGATCAAAGTAACCCAGATACCGTCAATGAAGCAAGGAGATATCTGTAAGTCATTGCCAACCAACCGAGGTAATTCCTGCGATGGTTGACCTGAATAGACAACAATATCCAACTTGCAATCTGGAGCAACGCAGAATGTAGTGTAACTATTATGGCGGCGTCTGTGCCAATCCTGCGACTCCTCGTCAAAAGTACAGAGCCAGCGCCGCCTCCATACATCCCAGAACGAGCTTCGGGTAATAATTCTGGCTTCTATAACCGAAGCTTGGGCATCCGTACAATGGAGACTGGAACATCGGCTTCGACTAGGCTCTCCCGTACCAGCTGGTTGACATGGAAGCAACAAGATCGGGAGGAAAAGGGGTTGTCATATGACGACCCGGTTGATCCGAAAATTATTCTCACAACCCAAGTGGTTGTTGAGTATGACGAGAAGAAACCTGAGATAAAGTCAGCAGACGTTGGTCGTGCAGTGTAAATATTGTATTGAGTGTATTGGATCTTTGGCTCCGGTATGGCGTTAGGATGGGGATTGATCTTGGTCTTTGCATACTCGCAGGAATATCGGTGTGCTGGTCGGACAAGCTGATTTTGAGTTAACTGCATTCATGAAGAGATGACGATTATGACTGCGCCCACCTTATTGTGCCACACCATAGTCGCTCTTGGCCGAAGGATCATGACTGTGATCTGTCATCTAGTTAGTTGTGCAATAGAAATGAAACTCATTCTCCATTCATTGCGGTTCGAGCTTTACCAAGCTGAACACGGGGTGGGAGATATAGTCTCCCCTTTACAACACACTCCAGCTAAGAGGTGCCCTTACCACAATCTATCATTAGGGGCCTAATAAGGCCAAAATATGAAATACGATTTATTAATCTAAGAACTAATAGTAAAGGCACAGTTGGAATGGACTTCCACTCATTCTAAAGGGGCTAAGGAAATAGAAAAGAAATATTTGGAAATTTTAATTCGTAGATGCATCCAGATACGCAAAACCACATTGCCTATGAGCCCTGAGTCCTATAGTCCTGAGGCAGTTTCTACTGGGTGTAACCGTACTCTGACATTTGCTTCGTTGCGAAGAATTCAGCGGACGGCCGGTATTGAAATGTATAGTTGTGAAGTTCACGAGGAGATCCGCCAGCACTGAGCTGCTCCCAAGATTCTGCATCCCATTCTTGCTTCTTTTTGAAGAATTTAATGGTGTCTTCATCAACATAAATTAGCTTGAGGAACGCCCAAGTATCAAAACCCTCTGGGCGATCAACTAGCACTTTGATTAGGTCTCGGTAACACTCGCTCTCAGTCCTACCGCCATGATCGGCTTCGGGGTGGCGCTTCGCAATACGCAGCAGCATTTGGCACACATATGGCCAGTGCTTCAATAACTCCTCATTCATGGTGGACTCCATCGCTCGAAATTCAAGAGTTCCATGGCCATCAATTCTGTCCAGGCTCTGGAAATTGTATGACAGGCGCTCCATCCATCCTGATGCAGGGCCAAGTAGCTCAATTAAGCGCTCCGTACTCTCTGTTGCCCAAATCTCACCCATCTTTAGAGCCAAAGACCGATCCTTCTGAAATATTTCATGAAGATACTTCTGGTAAAATTCGTCGTTTGGGTCATTCATATCTGCTACCGAAGTTGTCCCAAGCAAAGAGCATTTCTTCATGGAGCGGCAGTAAAAGTTTAGCGGTCTATTCTCTTCACGACGAGCTGGATGATACAGCTTTTCCAACAAATCTTCGGCTAACCAGAGCACTGTAGCGAGTTTCTTCAAACCATGCAGCCTGTGAGGCAAGCTATCTTCCAGACCGACATGCACGTGGAGACCACAGGTATCATTGATTCTGCACCGGATGTCCCATCGGACGTTGCGAGCAATTTGTCCAATAACCCAGGCATTTCTAGCGATGTCACTTGCGTGCTCAGAGCGAAATATTCGGGACACAATCTCGACAGAAACCCAACCGGCGTAGCTTTCGTCCTCAGAATAAGCAAATTCGTCTTGAACATAAGCACACTCGGTGAGACTCTGATCTTCCTTGAGGGTCCATTTCTTATGCTCCTTGTTGCCCGTTCCGTGGTATCCCATCATAAGAAGATCCGAAGACATGTGAATCTCTTCTGTTCCACTGAACAGATGGTCAATTTTACTTCGTATTTGGCGAAGGATGGCCTCCGAGGGGCGAGAGCTATACATAGCATCCTCTTCGGTTAGCTCAATAACGGGCCGAGGGTCGTTGGCATGAGGATCTGGCTGGCCTTTAATGATGTACGGCACAAGAAACTCCATCTCGATGCCGAAGGTAACTTGAGCATCAGTGTTGATCAGACCTCCCTCCGGAATAGCTCTGTGGACAGAAAGCTTGTCCGAGCTATTATCGCTCCACTCATACTTCATGGTGCAATTGCGAATAATACTAGATTTAAAGTCTCGCAAATGTAGCAAATCCTGAACGTACAGCTGGATAGTCTTGAATTTTGAGTTAGTGATCATAAACACAGCGAAAAAAAAGACCCTGCTTCTTATACTTCAACATTTTTATTGTGCGAGTCAACATGATCCAGCGTGATCTGTCAGTCTCCATCTGTCCATCTGAATGATTGACACTTCACCTTCTTAGTAACCGGAAAGATATCATAATCATAATTCAAGCTCCTGTAGTTTGAGACGAAAGAATGCTGTTGCTTGTGTTCATATAAAGTCCATGCCAACAAGATATGCGTTGGGCATGACATAGCCATACTTTGCCAAGTTGTCTATAGTTGCGGAAGACAGCGCATAATTTGACGTGTATGAATACTAAAGTAGCATCGCGGTCGTACAAAGCGCGTCAATAACTTCATGGTGTATGATTGTGTAAATCGTACAGATATTAGAAGATGTGTGCCAAGTTGCCCCTTTTGTTCTCATCTCGCGAACCTCCTTGTGAGAGTGTTTACCTAAGGTCGTTACACGACATGGCATAATACTCCTAGATACGATGAGAAGGAGACACCTTCGACATGCAGTAACATGAAGCTGTAGTATGACCATTGAGCATTATCCCGTCATTGATTTATAGCATGCGAAATGTATATATATTGTGCTAATGACCTTGCCAGAGACGCCATTCATATGACTCTAATCCCGCTTTGGCACTCGAGAAGGAGAATAGAAATTGTAAGAGAACCTGCTAGTTTCAAATGAAATCGCAAAGGTGTACGCAGATATATCTTGCGTATAAATCAATTAAAAAGTTGATCAAAGCTATTTCATAGTATATGATATTTCAATCTCCTGGACCCCCACAACTTTGTCTTCATCGTGAGGCGAGCCAATATACAGTAAATTATTCCCCTGATCCGATGCTTTCACTAAGCAGCTGACTATGGCCTGACTGTCGCCGAAGTTCACCTCGGAAGCACCTGTCCACCGTCCATCGCCGTTAGCAACAAATTCGACGTGGCGTTGTTGCAAAGGTCCCTCCAACTCATCAACGCTCAAGTTTGCAAGATTATCTTGAACATAGCCAATTCTCTGGTGTGAGTATGGGACGATATATATTCGTTTAACAGGACCCCGAAACACAGCCAAAACCATCACACCTCCCGAGAGGGTAGGAAACGCGAGATCGAGGCCCGAAGTCTGCACGCCGCTTAAGCCACATATTGCATCGTCCCAAAATTCGCGAGGCAGCACTCTGTTCAAACTCAGACGTGGGTCTATCCGGATATGAATAAGTTCCGAAATATAATCTCTATAACGTGACGCTGCGTTAGCTAGAGCGACTTGGCTAGTAACGATATAAATTGGCCGCTCCGACAAGGCATCGAGTACTTCGGACTTGGCGTGCTCAACGATACCACCGTTGTGGTCGACATCTCGAATAAAGGTCTCATTGCCGATCCTCCTTAGAGCTAAGGAATAAATCTTTTCCTGGCTCGATGCGAGGGGCAATACATAACAGAATCGCCCGATATCGGCACTCTTACGCTCAGGGCTGTACTTAAGGAGCTTGGTGGTAAGTTTGAGTCCTTTGTTGGTGATGACAAACTCTTGGTCTTCGTTACCTGACTGAATCGGCAATGGGTCTTTGAAATCAGAAGGCCAGTCTGCAAATACTCTGGCGAAGTTTGTTTGTTCACCCCTCGACCATTTCCACGCGAGTATACTCAGATCATTTGTGTTCCGCATTATCTCGTCTTGTAGACGCGAAAAGGCTCTTTGATGCTCACCGTAGATCATTGGCATGCTGATATCAAAGATGCCAAGTAAACAGTACGCAAGGTCCTCCGGCCTCGTGGTTGTGCGATGGCTTGCCCATGACAGCTTTTTTGCCACGGGGATCCTTAGTAGCACATCCATTCTTGTCCTCTGTTGCCCTGCTTCATCAAGGACAATCATGTCGACTCCTGTGATGTCAGCCAGAAGTGCCTTCATTTCACTCCTCTGTCCTCTGTATCCCCACCTGCTGTCGTAAAACTCGAGTGTCTTTGGCGCAATAAGCTCTTGTAGCGTCCATCCACGAGTGAACCAACGGCACTGGGGTAATGAAATTTCTATCTGGTCTTCGGGATCGAGGTCGGTCAGGTATGTGAAACAGAGGGCAGCATCTCGATACCAGCGAAACATGGAGTTGATGGCTTCTGTCAGCTCAGTACTGCTTGATTTGTTGATGCAGCACGTATCCACCCAGACATAGTGCAATCCGTGCTTGATTGCCAGCGCGCAAGACATCCAGACCTTGCGGTGGCCTTCTCTGTCCAGCAACAGAGGATGAAGCGCAGTGGCTGAGGACCTCGTAGTAATCTCCTCAAACGTCAACTCGTCCTTGCCCCATGTATGCGACAGAATCGCGTAAGAAGGCACTTGTTGCTCAAAGAAGATTTCCAGTCTCTTTGTAAGTACATTGATTAGCCTCATCATGGCGGGTGGGACGCAAGTCAGGACAGAATAGACGGCTGTTGCCTTGGAGATCTTCAAGAGCAAGCCAGAAACGACTCGGATGTAGAAAGACTTGAATTTGTATCGTATATTGTATTGTGTCTCCCACGAAATTGTAACTGACATTCGTCGACCTAGCTTTCTCAGGCCTACTCAGCTGGAGTCGTGCATATTTGTCCCTGCTTGCATTTTGGACGATACAACGCCAGGCAACAATGCCAAGCAACAATGCCAAGCAGCATTTGGCGCTGTGCCACTAGTCGGGCGGGGAGTATTTGCCCATGGGCCAGACTGCTCAAGTTCCCAGTACTTTGTGAAGAACGTGACCGAATTCGCAAAGACGCCCAATGATTTTCATACTGTGGTGAAGGCCCAGGTCCACGCCGCAGCAAAGCAGAAGGTAGCGGCTGGTCCATCAGTCTAGCACCGATGAAGTCATTCCGGGGCTGGCTGCTGGCTAGACATCTAGGGATGTGCAACGGCCCTGCACATACAATTCGCACGTGCAAAGCAGTTTCAGGTTCGAAAGCTACCTAGCTAGGAAGTAGCCTGCTGACGTCTCGTCATGTTCGCTCAGCTCAGATCTAGCATACCTACTCCGTGACGTACCGCACCTACGCTTTTCCTGACTTGCTCGTCGTATGTCCTAACTGCCATAGCAGCTTCTCAGAAGCGTCAGAAAACAGTGCTGAGGGTTATTTTCTTAGGCGATGTTCTCTTACTCTCAAAGTGCTGCACAATTACAAACACATTATCGGCCATGGGGCTTACTGTATCTTGTTCGTTCCTCCCTGTAGGGCGGAAGGGATGCCGGAGCAGGGAGGTATGCAGGTACCCACCTCAACAGAGTGGACCGCGGACCGCGGACCGTCCCGCTCGACTGTGGCGTGTCGGCACTACCGCAAGACATCAACATGAATCACGGCCATGATCAGATCCAGGGATATACATAGAGTTACCACCCGCTTCGCGGGCTAGCAGAAAGCTAACAGAACCTTTGCATTTCATTATAGTGCAAACGCATTACCTGGAATGCTGGCTCAGCTGGATACAATGGCCTAGCTCGTCTGTCCCGCGTGTCCCGTCCTGATAGTGTATAACAACGTGCCCACAACTCCCGCTCGACCCTACACAGCCCGAGATCAGAGGCAAAAACCAGTACCAACATTCCCTTGCCAACTGCTAGTGAGCTTGGATGAACTCATGGCAACGATTCCATGACGATTCGCTGAAGCTCCATACATAGGCCGGGGTGTATGCTGCCGGCATCCTTCCTCATAGCTCCCAGACATGACACTCAGCACAGCGTGTTCGAGGTTCCCAAGTCAACCCCAGTACGGTGAAAGTGGCTCAGACTTGAGAACTAGTAGAGGTCTAGAATCGGCGGGCCACTCCAGAAGCTCTTGTCATGCAGTTGTCATTTTTCATCATAGCTTCTCAAGGTAGTATAAAAGTGTAGGCTGTTTCCCAATTTCTGGTCGTCTCACAAATCCAGCATCAGGAACATCTTCTCCAAAGCTCTTCATCACTGTTTGCCTGTGTGCTTCCCAATAAACCCTCAACCCTATCACCATGGTCAGAGTGTCTATCTCGTTGGCGGCTCTTGGCCTTGCAGGCTTTTCTGCAGCAGCTATCTGCAACAATAATTGCGGTCGTCAGGTTGCTGGAACCGCCGTGAACAAAGTGCCTTACGAGACTCGACGGGATATGTGTTCGTCCTTCTTGGCGACCACCACCACCATCACTTCTGGGTGAGTAACCGCAGTTTATGCTTTTTCGGGGAGTCATCTACAATCGGGGCTTACGAATTTGGCAGCAGTGTCAACCACACTCCTACCGGGGTTTCTAGTCGAAATGTTCACTATCGTAACGCCATGTCGCCAAGCGTGACCGTGACCGGCGAGCTTCCGCCGTACGCAACGTACTGCGATGACAATGTCGAGTATTGGTCTGCCTGCCAGTGCTTCGGGATCACTCCGACCACTGTCACTGTAGTCAAGCCAACTCCCACCACCAACACCAGAGTAACTTCTTCAACTTCCACCACCAAAACTACCACCAAAATAACCTCCTCAACTTCTACCACTAGCTCTACAACCAAAGTGATCTCCTCGACTTCCACTACTAAAGCGACCTCCTCAACTTCATTTACTAACACTACAACTACTACTACTAAAGTGACCTCCTCGGCTTCCACCTCCACCATAATCCCCCTACCCACTTGCACTCTGGGAATTGAGTTTGCTCTCTGGGTGTTTAATCCAACATCGGCTGAGGCCACCATTCTCCAGAATGCCTATCGCGACTTCTCTTACCTGAACCGCAACTCTCTCCTTGGCGGCGCCACCCCCCTTCAGAGTGGCATCGTGTCTCAAGTTGGCTCGATTGAGCAAAGCAATTACGGGCTACCTCTGCAATTCGACGGCCTAACCGCTCCGGGCAACACCGCCATGCCCTTCAACGTTTTGGAGCATCGTGGCTATATCGTGCCTGCCGCGGCCGGCGACTACAAGGTTCTCTTTACCCTGGTGGATGATCTTGCAGCCGTCTGGATCGGCAACCACGCCATAACTGGCATCATCCTCAGTCAATCCGTCCTTAACGGTACCTTGGGCTCATACTCAGATTCCCCACTCACATACATCTTCACGGTCAGCCAGGCCGATGTGGGTAAACCCATCCCCATACGCATCTTCTGGGCCAACGCTGGCGGCCCGGCCGGTCATTTGTGGAAGATTATTGACTCTAATGGCACCGAGATACTAGGCTATGGTACGCCTAAGAACCCTCAGATTGTTGTCAGCTGCTCCGGCCTAGACATTAATGCCCCTGAGTGGCCTGTGTGGGGTACCGAGCTCTAGAAGTTCATATCATCCATGGTAATAGCTTAGATATACATTAGATTAGTTATCGATTCTACTTTTAGACTCAGAATTTGACTTGACTCAAGACCCTGCTGTATCCATTCTCTCCTTTGTTGACCCATATTGGTGATACTGATTGCCTCACTGTCCGGGGCTCGAATCGGGTGGAAGCAGGAAAGTAGCTTGCAAGACCCAACAATAGAGAAACCAATACTGCTACATCATTTATTTAGACAACCCTCAGTTACACATTATAACGAGATGAAGTCGGCTGAAGCAATGAGAATCTCAAGTTGAAATCCTCACTGAATTACAATATAGGAGAGCTTTCGGCAAGTCCATACTTTGCTAGATTGAAAAGGAGAAGAAGCACTCAAGAGACAGATGGTACTTCATGATATGAGGCGATGATGGTGTGATGAGCTTATTTCCATTGTAATTTCGAGTTTCAATTAGGACATATTCATCATCACATTATTGCTTTTCCAACCTCAATATGGCACATTCTCTGTCGAGAATATACACAACCTTCACTTTCAAGCACAAGAGAGTGGAGTTTATGCTAGACCAAAAGGAGTAATCTTTTTGCGACAGGGTTGATAGGCCAGAGCCTAACTGCTTAGCCTCAGAAGTACGTATGCTCCTATGCATCGTCACCGGTAGCAAGCGATTGTGGGGAATCTAAGCCTAACAAGTCTTGAGTCAGGGCGGCGCAAAAATGCCGGTAGGAATCTACTTAACCAACTTTCTCAGCTGTAGTGAACTTACTTTGTACCCGAACGAGCCGCGGCCTGCAGTGTTATAAAAAAGACGTCCGCAATTGCCATGAGGTATTGCACTCGCAATACGGTTACTCTTTTGGTCTGAGCGACAAAATATTGCGAGCCCACATGGTTAATCACGGGCGTTCCGGACGATGCAACACCTGCAGAGAACGACGCGTTAAGTGTGACGAGGGTAAGCCCAGTTGTCAACGTTGTCTGAATCTAGGACGCCAATGCGGGGGCTATCGAAAAGGACCTATCAAGCTGAGGATCAAGGATGAGAGTCACAAGTTTACCGATGCATCGATTCGACAAAAAGAGACAGCGAGCCACATTAGCGAGCTTGACCCTCGGCAAAGTCAAGTTGAATTGCAGCTTCCTCGCTCGCTTTCACAGCGCGACACTGCTGTTGAATTCTTCCTAACCTATTCTGTCAGCTTGGGTCGCAGCTTAGAGTCTACACGTGGTTTCTTTGAACTCATCGTCCCAGTCCTGGCCGCAGAACCTCAAGACTCACCGCTATCAGTCGTGATATCGGGTGTCGCTGAGAGATTTCTTTCGTTATGGTTGGACGGACCTAGCGGATTTCTATCACCCCAAGCATCACTCGTCCAAGCGCTTGAATGTCTTCGAACCGCAACCGAACATCCAGTTGAGAGAAGCAAGCCTAGCACGATCATTGCCGCATTGTTATTTAACTTCTACGAAAACGTTGCTGGTGTATACCGTGTGCAGAAGGTCTTACGCTATCATTATGACGGAGCAATGTCACTACTTCCGTTTACCGACTCTGAGCCCAGCCAACCAGACATAACATTAAGAAGCTACATAGCAAGGTTTTTGCTTCATGCCGAAGTTTCGTTTGCGCTGCGTGAGGGAAGACGACTGTCAAACCACACGCTCTCTTTGTTGGGCATCAGACATCTCAATGTGACGCCGAATCCAAGCTCAACGCTTGATGAGCTGGGCGCTAATATAGCCGAGTTGCGATCCAGATACACAAGCCTATCCACTCAAACCAACATCCCGTCTTCTTTCCCATCTTCCGAACAGCGCTTGAAGGATTTACGGCGAGAAGCAAGACTTGTTGAGGCAGATCTCCTGGCTTGGGCACAATCAGTACCTACTCATTGGCGTCCTCTCAGGCTTAGGAGCGGTCAGGACTTTGATGTTTCGATTGTAGCTTATGAAGGAGTCGCTGAAATTTATCCTTCTTGCCAAATAGCATCGATTTGGAACGCCTGGAGATGCTACTATCTGTTACTCGCACAGATGTTTCTCGCTTTCCCTAAGCACGCGATATCAGACTGCGAACATCCCTCGGATGACCTCGTCGATGCAGTCAGCTACCAAAATGTCCTACGGGGACTTGTCAACTCCGTGTGCTATAGCGTGCCATTCTTCCTTGGGAATCGAACCGGGGCATCAAACATCGACGACCTCACCAATCCAAAGATCTATCTCCCTAGCTATCATTCCCTTCCACGGGCGGACTCTCGGCGTTGTAGTATGGACCACGGTATCATCATGTCGGCAGACGAGCACCAGCGACATGTCGTGGCGCAAGGGGCGTGGCACAGTATGGGACCTCTCAGCCACCTTTTAACGATGTTCTCAGACGACTATGGCTGGGTGATGACGAGCGCTCTGGCACCTGGACAACAAGAATGGATCCGTGAGCAGTTTCTACGAGTAGCCACACTGCTACGCCTTCCTGTGGATGAAGAATTCAGCGATGAAGAGAAAGTCGATCTTCGCCTAGTTGACAGTGGTTCGAGGGCTGATCGTATAGCATGCAGGTTACGTGAAGGAATGAGTTTGATAGGAGGCATATAGACCGCTTGAATTCAAATAGACATATAATGAGATAACTCTACATGTAATTGAGAGTTATGGAGGCTACCCATGCGACTCCGCATGAGCTGTTGGATCTTGCAAATGTGCATGTTCAGCTATTCTATGAGAAGCCCCGGTATTCTTCGTAGTGTCATGGATAAGCTTGGAAAGCGTGTAATTGTACTCTGTTCATCAACTCATGAAGATTTGGCCGCATTTCTGATCCGGAAGCCTTCCAATATGTCAGCCTCCTGAGCCGGTGTTGTGAACTTGATCTCGATCACCGTCCCGTCCCTCTCCGCCTTGCGATTTTGACACTCTTCCTCAGTCACCCATAGATGGTTTTGATGCTCGTTTGGATCAAGTCTCACCGGCTCTGAGCTCTCGACTTCTGCCTCGAACGTGAACTTGCAGATTCGCAAACCGCGTCGGCTGAAGAACACATGACCCTCGGCCGAGCCAATTTTGCGGCCTACAGAACTGACCACCAGGCCGCTCTCCTCCCAGACTTCTCGCGCCATGCCATGGAGGATGCTCTCGTCGTCGAGATCGCACCCGCCGCCGGGGATCTCCCAGCGATTCGGCATGGAGTCATGGCTTGCTCGCTGAATTATCAGAAGCCTGTTCTCGCTATTGAAGACGAGAGCTCCAGTGGCTATTGCGTCAAACTCCTCATGGGAGGTGAGATATGTCTTTAGTGGAATGTTCAATGCTGACACAGAGTCGTGGAACGTAAACGAGAAAGGCGGCGCTGGAGGCGGGCCGCTTGTCATCTTTGTTTTGAATGATGCTCTGCTATGTGGTTATGTGATTTATTGTGAACGCGTTGTGCGTTGTCAAGTTGCAGTACGGGATCGTTGGTAGAAGAGAAGAGTCGCTGGTCAGTGTGGCGAGCTGAGTCACAGCGGGCTGAAGTTTGGATGAAGATGTCATTTTGGATTTTCGGCTTCACAGCCTCCACAAAATGGAGGCAGCGGATGCCTAGCGGTCGCCCGACTTGGCCGGCTCTCAGGTAAAACATGATTTTACAACGCTGAATTGCATGAAGCATCGCAACTAATGCTGAGCGCCAAAGGAGATAGAAAATCGCAGGACACTTTCGGTAGATGATTTACGCTCAAATTATTTGCTGGCGCTCATAGCGACATCACCGTACGCTGCACGTAATACATCGATGCCGAGCTGATGCACCGTCCATCACAGCCAATGCTGGCGGAATCGCGATGATTACAAATCCCTGCACGCAATTGACCGCGATGGCACCAGCAAAATCTGGAACAAGCGTTCAATTCCAAAATTCTGATGCTTCGAGAGAACGCAAAGTCCCGTGAGCTCTCGGATCATGGGCTTTGGAGAGGTGCAAAAAGATTAGCGTCCGCGGAGATATTGCACTGTCATGCTCGACCGGAAGACAATGTGCATTCTCATCCAAATCCTGTGATTCACATACTGCTCATTGAGTACAATGGCATCAATTAGAAAGTGCAACCTGAGCATCACTAGTACGTGTAAAACGGGATCTGCTGGTAAAATTTCGCAAAATGTCGGTCTTCTTGCAGGGCGCCGCCGTGACGAGTCCTTCCACGACAAATCCCGATTCCTATCTCTGGTCAAGAATTTCTTCGAGTTGTTTGACTAAGTAAATACAATATTATGATGGAAATGCCACGACAAAAGGGTAAGATCATAATCGAGATAAACGGCAAGATCTGAGCGTTTCTTCCGGGATCGCTTCCAATCGTCAATTGCTGTGCTTATCTCTACTCCCAACTCAGTTCACAAGCTCATCTTAGAGCTTCTAACTCTTCCAAACCTCCCAGATGAAATCTATGTCATAACTCGAATGTGACGCAAAATGTCTCTTTGTGAAGCATGCGCTCCGAGACATGTCTCGTAGACAAGCCCACGTCTTCAATTTCATTTTTAGACACACGGGCCGATCGTTTCGTAGATCCATGATCCAGCAACGTGCCAGCACTTCCACGAAAAACGATGAAATCCATATCACAGTGGCCCTGTATCGGAGAAAACAAAGACGCTGCTGCTCGTCCAGTTCCATGTCGTCTTGGCGCAAGAGTCAAGAATTGTTTCGTTTTGGACGATCAGCCAGCTTCTTATTTTAGACAATTGGCAGCCCCGCCATCATGTATACTGCCGGTCTTTTGATGAGTGACCGCCTGTAATGTGCTATTTCGAGCGGGCGGTGACTGCAGGTGGTCCTGGATCCTGAGACGCCAATGTGTGGTCCGGCGACTGCCGAGCCGTTTCCTCTCCTTTTATTTCCCCTGGCTGGTTGCTGGCTCTGGCTGGGACTCCGCTGAAATGTTTCCTGGCTGCTTCATCCCCCTTGCTAGTCTACGACGCACCGCTTTACTAGGGCTGGGCTCGTGGCCGCAGCCTCAAACCTCTCATTAATTGGCGACTCGTTTTGGGCCTAGTAGAGGCTACTGGTGCTCCAGACACCCCTGTTTCGTGTCTGATCACCGTCGTGGGCCGCTGCTTTGTCGCACATTCCTCCCCCAACCCTCAGCCCGCAGCCAGTGATGATGCGCCGCAATCTGTCTGCTGCGTCGAGTCGAGCGGTTTACAGAGAAGCCGCGGCCGATTCTGAGCCCACTGTATCATGCCTTTGCCCGTCTGACTGACTGCCTCGCTGTGCCGTGTGAATAGATGAATACAAGCGCGAAAAGGAGGATCGAGGCAAAGCAGATCCGGCGGCGGGTGCCCTGCATCGCGACGGCCATGGTCGACACATTCAGCCTGTTCGTAGGTTCCTTTCTGTTGGATCCTAGCGGGACTGCCATTGGCAAATCTCCTGCCAACGACCTGCCCAGGCCAAAACGTGACAGATGATGGGTTACAGGGCTTGCCATTCGCTGAAGCCCTCCAAGCTGGGCGAGCTGGGCGGACGAGCTGAGACACGAGAGAATTGGCAGGGTCTCGGCATCCCCTGTTAGTGAAGAACTAACAATGGAGTTGGAGAGCAAGCGTTTTGTCTTTTCCTTGAAAGCGCTCATCCGGCGTCCATCACTAACAAACCCACCCGCTAGAGCCTCGAGTGGCTTGGTTGAATGTAACGTCCAGAGCTGGTTCTTTCTCTAGTTTCGACTAACGTCCGGTAGACTGCAGTGTGCTCGCTTTCCTTTTTGCTCAAGCATCAATTGCTCTCTGGTGTTGTTTTGTTTCTCTTTCCTTGACGATCTCTTCTTTTCCTTAGCCTTCTCTTTTCCTCTTCGTCGCTTTTGGCTGGGCCTTTGGTGGGATGCGCTGGTATTGACGCAACGGACGCCGCGTGAAAGTGAAGAGAGAGACACCACCGATCTCATCCGCGAGCTCGGAGACTGAGACGGCCACGGGACGATCCATAGCTTCAATTCGCACCGCCAGCGATTCTTTCGTTCTCAGAACTGACGTGCAGGTGCCGGAGACGATTCTCTGCCGTCTAGTTTTTACTTTTCACGTTCTTTTATTCATTTCGTTCGAACGACGACCGTAGAACGGCCCATGCAGTCGCCATCGAGGTAGCGCCCATCTCCCACCTTGATGCCTTCCATGGCATCTTCCTCCTTCCTCCAGCTGTTGCTTCTTGCAATCACTGCCACTCTTTCAGCCGCGCTGCAAAACAGCTCCAGTCACGAGGGCTGCATTCATTTGCCAGTCATTCATTCAACAAACCCCGAGGTCTTTTCCAAGCGAGCGATTGCCGTGCAATTGGCGAACCGGTCAGATGTCGCCTACTATGCGAAGCGTACGGTAACCTCGTCTTGAATGCATTCTATAGAAACTAACAATTGCTGCAGTGGAGATAGGTACCCCTCCGCAACCCGTCTACGTTCAATTGGACACCGGTTCCTTCGAGCTTTGGGTCAATCCGACTTGCACGAATCTGGGGCTTGCAGATGCGAGGTTTTGCGAGGCGATAGGTTTCTATGACACTGCACAGTCATCGACGGTGGAGTCTCTGGGTACAACGAAAACGCTAAGATATGGAATTGGGGAGGCAAATATCACCTATGTGAAGGACGACATTAGCCTACCGGGAGCCACGAGCCCTATGAAGGCGGTGCAATTCGGTGTTGCAACATCTTCCGAGTCACAGTTTGCCGGTATTCTCGGAATCGGTTACGGACTTGGCTTGACAACTCGTTACCGAAACTTTGTTGACGAACTAGCTGCCCAGAACCAGACGAAGGTCAAGGCGTTCTCCTTAGCCCTGGGTGGAAAGGATGAGCAAGAGGGTGTTATTGTATTCGGAGGAGTCGACACCTCAAAATTTGCTGGATCACTTGCGCAGCTGCCAATCGTCGATGCCGACAAATCGCCGGATGGAGTACCACGTTACTGGGTTTCGATGGAGAGCATGGCGCTGTCGGCTCCTAGTGCTGAGGCCAAGGTATACACGAACAGCAGCTACGATGTGTTCCTCGACAGTGGCGCTACTTTAACATTACTACCTGAGACGCTCGCGAGTGAAATCGCAGCAGACTTCGGAGCAACAGGGATGGATGCTAACGGCTTCTACCCGGTGGACTGCGGCATTGTCGATGTAAACGGAACCCTAGATTTTGCTTTCAACGGAGTCACCATCAAGGTGCCCTACAGTGAGCTGATTAGGCAGTCGAACTCGATCCCGCCAAAGTGCGTGCTGGGTATCGTGCCCAGTTCAGACTTCACACTCCTGGGTGATACCTTCCTGCGCTCAGCATATGGTATGTGTTCAATGCCCTACCGATCTCCGATGATGTGTACCTAACATTAGATCATAGCTGTCTTCGATCTTGAGAACCACATGGTGTACATGCAGCAGTACACAAATTGTGGCTCGACCCCTGCTGCGTTAGCGGACTCATCCGCTCTCACTTCTCTAGTCGGTGCGTGTGCACCGCAGCAGCGGGAGGTGGATACGTCGAATGGTGCATCATCATCAACAACCAGTTCCGGAGGTGTCACAGCCACCACAGCCTCTACACCTTTAAGCTCTCCAACGACAGCGGGCGGTGCTGCCTCGTCAAGTCCTTCCAGTATACCGTCGTCAGGAGCAACAATGGCATTCCAGACGGGAGGAGTTGTAACTGTGGTAATGACAGCGCTTCTTATTGCGCTGGGAGTGTTTTGAGAGAGTGAAACTCCCAAATATGCATATTGCATCGTATATACTGCATGTGATGGTTGAGAACAACGTCTCAACCATGGCTCATCACGACTATCTGATGATTTGTATTCATGGCGCACCAAGAGTCGTCTCATACTTGGCCACCGAGCATGGCGTTTGAATAGATTTGAATAAAAATAATTGTGACTGTTCATTTAGTGCTCACGAAGCTGCTGTGGTTCCCGGCGCTTGGCCTTGATTCGTCATCCGACTTGATGATTAGTAAGTAATCGCGTGTGCTAGGCATTCAAGCGGCTTGCCAGACTTTCGCTTGATCGAGGATTCAATCTTTTTAACCTCGCCCACTGCCTCTTAGAATATAGTCATTAGCAGGTACATTCCAATCCCGGATGGTGGACTTGATCAGGCAGGCGGGCTTCGTCTGCAACACATGCAAGGCGGGTAAGAGGAAGTGTGATAAGGCGCTTCCAATATGTGCGCGGTGCGCAAGGTTTGCATTCTACCTTCTGTTTCTCAGCTTCTCCACATCTTCACAAGGATGAAATGGTTGATTGAAAGCTATAGGCTAGGATTGACCTGTCAGTATGAAAAGGCAGAAGGCCCCCTGTCCACGAGTGGCATAAATTTGTTTCCGAACGCCAGCTTAGATGCCGACGCCGTCCAACGTTTCTACGACAATTTCCAAAGAGATAGAGAAACTGTACGAATCACAATAGACACCTATTTTGAAACGGTGCATAAATGGTTTCCCATCATCAATGAAGCACGGTATAAGCAAGGCTTGCACGCCATACCATTCGCGCACAACTCCGATGATCTGCTACTCTTGCTGTCTATGCATCTCATCACACAGAGACCTGATTCCAAGCCATCCATGAATGACTGGCTTTATAGAGCGGTAAAACAGTTGTGCCACGCTATTATTGCTCAAAGTCCCGAGCCTGCGAGATTGAAAGTGCTCCAGAGCAACGTACTTTTGGCGACCTATGAGTACGGCCACGACATGATCGATGCCGCGAGTCTCACTAACGGCATCTGCGTGTCCATGGCTTACACATTAGGATTGAACACGCTTGGAATCCTTAAGCAAGGCGATGAGGAAACACACTGGGAATCGTATGAGGAGGAACGAAGGGTTTGGTGGGCGGTGGTGATCAACGACAGGTTTGTTGAGATCTGTACAATTGACGTGATAGGCTCTTAACGATTCATTTTCAGAATATTCGCCATCGCAAAGCCGCCTTATCGGGCCCCGATGACCGTTATTTTCAATGAAGACAGCGTTGTGTCAGAGATGCTCAGTATCGAGCAAGGAAGATGCGGTAATACGCTCGGTGTCCCTCTGTTGCAGTTCTACCAGCAAATACAGGCTATTATCATCATGGGACAGGTTTTGAACTTGATCACAAGATCAAAGCCCCTTTCAGACTATAACCAGAGAGAATTTGCGAGGCTTGACCTGCAAATCCAAAACCTAATGAAAGCCTTGTTTGACCCGGCAGCTGGGCTGATGCTAGCTACCTGTGAAGCGCTATCCATACACAGGGTGTAAGCCCTCTCTTGATTTCTCACCCACATGGGTCATCATCTGAGCTGACCAACAGATCCTTCATGGTACTACACCAATGGCAAGCTGGTCTGGTCAGACCTGAGGAAGATTCGGATATCACAGCGAGGTCCTTGATGGCTATTAAATCTGGTGCTACCATTACGACTCTTGCGTGCGAGGAATTTTTTCCACAAACCTCTCCCGCGCAATGTACAGCACATCATCCTCAAACAACGCAAGCTGTCTATCATGCTGCAAGAACAGCTATGCAGATGGGTCAATCCTTATTTAGTGCGACAGCGGTTGAGGCGACAGTGAACATGCTCACCACTCAGAGTACACGATGGAAAATTGCTGGTATGTTGACATATTTTACATCTGATTATCATTTGCTGATATATGGCAGCAACGTACTTGGACAGGTTGGCCGCGGGAACTTGGTGATGAGAGGCGAAGAACAAGAGTGATAACTCACGATATCATCAAAGTATTGGAGCGGCAGACGAGGAATTTCAGATCGGTAATTACTTTCAAATATAGTGATTCAATGGAAAAGCATTATGCCCGTACTCCTCCGCTGGCTAGAACGTACTGCCCAGTCATCCATCGTGAGAGAGGGGATACCATCATTAAAACCACATCGGCGATCTCCTGGGGTTGTCCCGCTCTTTCTTCCAGAAGAAGTCCTTTGCTGAGTCTGGATACCACATCATTCCTCAATTCACCTTCAGGAAACCATGTGGCGGCATCTGACATGGTACCACCCGGTGCGACTGTATTGACTCTGATGCCTTTGGATTTTCCCAGCTGTAGTGACGCAGATTAGTAAGTGCACCTCGGTAGGATATAATTCTTTCTGTATCGCGAATTAACGCACCTCGACTGCCAATGCGGAAGTCACGAAGTCCTGAGCAGCTTTGCTAGCCCCATACGCCGTGACGCCACCCACAATACTATGCGTAACGACAGTACTAATATTCACGATACTACTTCCCCTCGGCATGTACGGGACAGTAGCTCGTGACATGTATATGGTGGTGAAAACGTTGCTAGAAAAAGCCTCTTGGAGCTCAGCCGGTGTCAACTCCGTCGTCAACTTGCCTTGAGCAACTCCTCGACCTGCATTATTGACTGGAGTGGCAAAAACCGTTAGTCAATGTCTATTTAGGTCAAAGAGTTGGCCAGATCGTACCTAGGATATCAACCTTGTCTGTTTCGAAGGCCTCTAGCGTCTTTTGTACGAGCTTCGCGGCACCTTCAGGGGTACTAATATCGGCTTGGACAATGGTCGCACGGGCACCAACGGCCTTGAGTCGTTTTGCAACCGTCTCTGCACGGGATGCGGATGCTTCGCTGACATAGTTCACAGCTACATTCGCACCGTTGCGGGCGAGTGCTAGAGCAATGGCGGCACCGATACCGTTTTCGCGGCCGGAACCAGTAACGATAGCCACCTGGCCGGCAAGAGAAATGGTATCTGCAGTCATGATGCGATATGAGAAGAGCTGGCTGAGTAAATATTAAGCAATCGTCGATACTCTAATCTAAAAGAGTTATTTCTATTCTCTACTACTGAGAAATATCCTAGACTTGTAGACTTGGAGACGAAGGACGGCCTTGCCTTATATAGACCTCCCGAGTGTCGAGTGTCGAATAGATACTGAAATTCATGGTTAACACGCAGCAATCTAAGGTCATCCAACCATGGAGCTAATCTATACATGTTCGTAATGCCGGGTCTCACACCATAGGCGTATCGGTCGACTGAGCCGTGTGGAAACACGGTCTATAAATCACCCCGACTTTCGCAGCCATGAAGTTGCTTTGTAAAACGCACCATCTCTGACGTATCTAGAGAGGCTCGGTTAAGAGGCTGGGGTGTTTAGACATGAATTCAAGTCAGCAATGCTAGCTCAAGGGCCAATATTTTCGTTGAACGACCTAATTTCGGGGCTTGACCGAGGCTCATGTTCACCTAAGGCCAACACGTTTACGTGATTTTAAACCCAATGTCTCGTATCATGATCTACTATCGTTTCCAAGGTGCAAAAGCCTCAACGGTAGTAGTCATCTAGCCGGAGACTTTTACATACTACCTGGATATATCAGTGGAAAAATGCCATTTGTCTTACTGAATCCGACCGTCTCATTCCGGAGATGGAGATATCTGCCCGGAGGTTATGACAATTCACTCCTGAATTTTCTTGCTACCGAATTTTGATTGGAGCAAGTAGGTGAAGGGTCACAGGTTAGTCAGCTTGATACCGTCTGCGGCTGCAGGTGCGGGTGCCGGCGTGCGGATGCAGGTGCGGATGCCAAGGGGAGGGCGTTGTGACAGGGGTTACCCAAATCTGTCCTAGGAATAAGAAATACAGTATAACCTGTCTTAATTCCTTTTACAACTCGGATTTTATAAGGTCACGGGTAGCTAATTAGGTTTAAATCGCTATATTAATAGAACACCGCGATGTACTGAGTTTGAACAGACCAGGCAATCACTCGCTCTAGTGGCTAGCTGAGTTCTCCTTCTATCTATTCGCAGCAGCTATCAAATGAAGATCTACCCGGGCTGTTATGTGCTGCAAGCCAATGGGAGTGCTAGACGCCATTCGGTAGTACAGTGCGGTATTGCCTTTTTACAAAAATGGTGACCACCACCCAAGCTCGATACATTGCTAAGACAAATTGCATAATAGAATCGTGATAGGTGTGTTATTTAGATGTCGAGATCGACATAGCTAAGATACGTTAAAAGGAAATTTCGATGTTGCGCTTCTTTCCCTACCGAGTTGTGACCTTGCTTTTGATAATGCCGCTTTTATCGTATGCCATGAAACCGGTACCCTCCTGACACCCGATATATTCCGCTTCGATCTCGTTGCCTTTCATGACGGATGTCTCCTCCCAAAGACATATCTTTCCAAGTCCATTTCCCATCTTACCCACGGGGCAGTAATCGTCCATGAACTTCCTTCGAATTTTGAGATGGCCCCTATTGACTCGGCCAATACGTTCAAACTTCTTCATATCCAACCAGTAAAACAGCTCGATTTTCCTGTTGTGATCTAGGTTGATAGGCCCACTGGTTCTGAATTTGCCAAATTCAGGTACGTAACCCATTCTAATGTCAAGCAGCCCATTGTCTTTCAAGTTAGCACCCAGGTCGTGCATCCACCCGGTCACAAGTTCGTCAAATTCGTTGAACCAGTGTGTCCTCTCCTCGTCAACCATCTGAGCATGATCTTGGCCCTCAACAAGGAAGCATATATTATCCGGTAGCTGAGTTATGATCGTCCGTCCAGCTCTAATCGCCTCACTACAAGGATTCCGCTCTGGAATTTGCGCTAGAGCCGAAGAGAACTGCTCCTCTGGTGTTGATTCTGGAAGGCGATCTCGTAGGCAGCCCCAGTACCCAATCTTTTCGCTGAAGGTTTCCATATCTCCTAAGCCGTTCACTCCGTTCTTGAGTTCTTTCGTGCAGGCGTTTTGCGTTCGACCGACTGATACGGTCAAAATCTCACGCCAGATACCAGCATCATCCGGAAGGTCTTTCCAGAATGTCGCTACAGACGTGCTGTTCCACCAATCGGCGTACGTTTCAGGCCACCAATACGACAGCCAGATGTGTGCATTCAATCCGTCCTTCCCAGGAACTATTATGCGGTCAAAGTGAGCTCGCTTGTTGATGAGATTTCCAAGCATGGAGATGAAGTCTGCTTGCCGACCAGTGGGCTTTTCGCCCTGATATTGCACCCCAAAGATGGCATAGATAAACTTTTGGCCAGTGCTGCTAAACTTGGCGCGGAAAAACATTGCTGCAGTTACGAAATGATTTGAGAAAATTCTAGCAATCAGGGGCCTGTGCCAAACCTTGTGTGATCTAGATTCTCTGCAAGAGAAAAATAAGGAGCTAGATTGAGAGCACGTACTGACTTGTCAAGGGGATGGCCACAAGTTAAATGCTTCTGATCATGGATTTATCAACACTCCATGACTAAACGCTGGCTTCTATTTGTCGAGGTCCATTGAATTGCATTAGAATCGTTGTCATCTAGATCGCCACTAACAGTCACAGCGCATACCATGACAGTGGCAGGTCACTCTCTTGATTGCCAAGGCCATGACATCCAAGTACCACCTCTTGATAACGGACACTGGCTTTTCCGCCAGCTGTTGTTTCTAATGCTGCACCAACCAGCGGAATAGTACTGCAAGCCACACACTTAATCAAATGCTCGACTAATCGCATTACATATGATTACCATGACGGGATGGCGCCAAAGTAGCATGTCCACTCATACTATATTTAATCTATCTAATGCAGCCTGAAACCATTGACCTCTGTTTGACAGAATCTTAGAGAATGATGTTCAATGATGTGGGCCTCATTTCAGGTTGAGTGAGCTGATACACCGATACCACGGCAAAGATCAACTGCAGGAGATATGGAGCTGGCTCATGATTCCGATTCCGATTCCGATTCCGGCTTGTAATGATTCGATAAATCGCGCTAGAAATGTCTTGCATAGTTTCATGCTTGGAACTTGAAGCGGCAGTAGGAGATTAGCGCTAAAGTGATGCGGAATACTCATCCGCAAGGAAGCTGACACATTGCAACGGGTCAGGGATTCGCCATCTCAGCCTTACGATACGGCTGCGGGTGCGGGTAGGCTCTGTACATACGCTAACCCTTCACCTTGAATGCCTGGGTTTCGTTGACCACCCAAGCCCATTCCTATTATGGGCTTAGAACTCGCGTCCATAGGGGTTATGAGCTAATCGCTGACAAGCCTGACTTGATCACTATTGCCACATACTGAGTATCTAGATCATGCATAGTTCTATCCCGAGATCGTGTTAGATTAGCTCTGCACTCGTGAGCTGTGTTAAACCTCGTGTTAATAACGATGTGCTTGTGAGGGCACCTTCCAGAGGCGTAGTTAAACACGTGCAGCTTCCTTGGAAATCGACACTAGTGCTGTCCTGCGCCTCCTCAATAACCTTCCGAATAACTGTTGATAAGCGGATCTTCAATGCCCTGCGATCAGGTCGACCCTGCATGACCTTTTGCCCACGGAGAAGGTGCGATGGTTCGAAAGGCGTGCCAAGCTGCCGGATCAATGAGAGGCTGCTTTCCACTGGTTCATTGGCTCTGCACGAGATAACGCCAGGGGTCATGCGTTAGTCCGATCGCCAGTAAGATCGTCTGGGGATTCCGGACTAGTAATTGATTAGACAAATCACATGTGGGGTTTTATAGTACAGTGATAAAATGTGCTGGGTCCATCGTTATCGAATCCGAGATAAGATTGCAAAGCTACTCTAATCGATTCCGACGGGGGCTTTGTTAGGTATTAAGTGGCTCCATGTCGGCCAAGATCCCGAAGTTAGTGTAAATCGCTCATTCTCAACCCCTAGGCTAAGAAGTCAAATGCCGAGCAACAAGGTGCGCAAGAACGTGGTTATCTCGACTCCACAATCAGAAGTGGAGGCGTAGCATGTTGAATGGCTGTTGAATTGAGCTGTACGCCTTCTGTGTACGTAATTTTATGGCCTGTTCTAGGCAATTGAGATATCGATAGGTTTCGTGTTGTACAAGTACAAGAAGAAAAGCTCATCCGCCATCGAGAACGCACAAGAGTAAGAGGTGATTAGGGAGAAGCTTCATCCATATCTCTACTATCCGTTGAAGCAATGTCACCGACGAAGAAGATCAAGGTTGCCGCTGTTCAGGCTGAGCCTGCCTGGAATGACTTGCAGGGAGGTGTTGTGAAAGTAATTAGCTTGATTAAGGAGGCTAGTAGCAATGGGGCCAACGTCGTCGGGTTTCCTGAGGCTTTCATTCCGGGATATCCATGGTAAGCAATTTCCTAAGCAACAAGCGGCCATTATTGACCATGTCTGTAGGACAATCTGGGCAAATGCCGCCCTCAGCAATGCTGGGTTCATGAATGAGTATTTCCACAACTCGTTGGAGAAAGACTCCGAGGAGATGGAACAGATCAAGGCCGCAGTTCGTGAAGCTGGAGTTTTCATTGTTCTGGGCTATAGCGAAAGGTTCAAGGGCACGCTTTATATTTCTCAAGTATGTAGTAATTCTAACCAAGCTCTCGACTCAACATTACTAAATAAAATGACAGTCATTTATTGATGAGACCGGAACAATCGTTCATCATCGCCGCAAGATCAAGCCAACTCATGTAGAGCGTGCTTACTGGGGGGATGGTCAAGCTGATTCTTTGAAAGCAGTAGTTCCCTCGTCCTTTGGGAACATCGGAGGTTTGAATTGCTGGGAGCATACACAGCCGCTTTTGCGCTACTACCAGTATTCTCAAGATCTTGACATCCAGGTTTCTAGCTGGCCACTGTGCTGGGATGCCTTGGAGGGTCAGCCGTGGCCGTATCATCTCACACCGCCAGCATGCAATCAATTTTCCCAGGTTATGGCCATGGAGGGGGCATGCTTCGTCCTGGTTTGCTCACAAATACTGACCGAAGAGGGGAAACGCAAAACGAGACTTGCAGAATTCGACTATGCGAGATGCCCGGGTGGTGGGTTTAGTACTATCTATGGTCCTGATGGAACCGAGCTTTGCAAGCCTTTGGAGCCAGGCGTCGAAGGTATTGTTTACGCTGAGGTTGACCTTGCATACCGAGCTATGGCACAACAAAACTTAGATCTGGTAGGGCATTACTCTCGGCCTGATCTACTTAGTCTACGGGTTACGGAGGAAGCGGCCCTTCCAGTTCGTTTTATAAAACAGCACGAAGACTAAGCGGAAAGCTTTCGGTAGATTGAACGGCGTTGATAGACTTTGCCAGAAAAGTTTAGCTCTAATTTCATTGTGCTTCACAAAATTGCCGTACTCTTTCGGCTCTCAATACGGAAAAGAACGCCATATTTGATGTTGTAGTCTTGCGAAATGATATTCCATATAATGATTTTATAATGTGATGGTCAGAATGGGAAGTTACCATAATCCATGAATGATCCATATACATCCCTGGAACTAATCGAGGCAAACCCCCCAGATGCAGTCGAAGCATTGCCGAGCCACTGTGTCGTCAACGGATCGACAGGATAAAATGGAACTGGCAGGGCCTCCAGGTACTGTTCGAGAGCCTGAAGGCCACTACTAGGCCGTATAGAAGATGGTAACAAGTCAGGTGATGTTAATGGAGCATCATCCATTATTGCTCCTTCAGTTGATGCTGAATGACTGGGTTGTGATTGACTAGTGTCTGGTATGGCGTCCTCGTTGGCTAGGATATTTCCAAACGGAGACAAGTCCTTACCGTTCATTCTAGATCTTATCTCAACTATTGCGTTCTGGATGCTCTGCAATCTGTGTCTAAGACGCCGTGATACAGGAGACTGTTCAGATAACTGATGTACTAAGTCCATAGCCAAGACGAGATCCTCAAGGCAGAAAATACTCTGAGCAGGTTCGACCCAGCACAGAACAAGCAACACTGACGATATCGCAGTCTCCAGGAAATGATTGAAAGTCTTGTGTTGGATGTGATAGATGTCTGTCTTATCTGCCACTTTCAAGAGTACATGAATTGTGTCCTGGGCGATTCTGGCCATTTTGAAGACGGTAGACCTATTGAAGTTCTTCGGTCCGTAACGTGTTGCCGATTTCCTAAGTACGATGGTTTTCATCTGATTTGCTCTCAGATAAAGCAATAATCGAAGCTTATAATCCCCTCGTTTCTCTTTGGAAGGATCAAAGAAGTCCTCACAGCCATGAAACCGAATTTTCTCAGGAAGGTTCTCTTGCCACTGAATTATTCGACATATGGTAAGATCAAAAGCCGATTCTTCGACTGTGGGGCAGCCCGGAGAGCCTGTCAGGAGAGATGCTCGCACGTCGGATGCGATACTGCAATACGCTACCATCTGCTTCAAGTAGGTAGATGAGAGATCTGATTCCTTCTTTCCAATGAGTCAATAGGTTGCTAGGATAGTTGAAGACAGCTCAATAACATACAACAGGAAGTGGTTGATGTATCATATCCGCATCGGAAATGGCAAAGGGCATTCCTGTGCCCAAACTCCAACGGCGATCCAATGTGTACACAGACCAGAAAAACTCGCTCGTTATCCCAGCATTCTCATCGTTCGAGTTGTTGCTGAGGATCTCGTGCATCACTCGCATCACTGTGCTGATTGTTCTCCAAGCTTGCACCTCTTGATCGGTCAGGAATAAGTATATGCTCTGTTGACTATTCCTTAGCCAGAAGTCTCATATTTGGGTCCCACCCATGTACAGATGGGCTTTGAGAGTTAGAGGGAACATACACTCAGGACAAGTAGGGTTAGATCATTCTTGTCGACATTGTTGAAGTGCGTTCTAGCCAATGCAGCGCTAGCAATATCCTCGACTAAGGGATACACGATCCCAGTTGCTTCTGCACTCGAGAAGCTAGAAACAACCGCGAGTATTAATATAGCAATATCGTCTACGCGCTGTCTAGGTTGGGGCTTGGTTCTGTCTGTGCGCGTATGAACGGATGCAGTGCCACACTTTGCTCTGCGAATGTTCCGTTCCCATTGATCGATTTCCAAGATGGGGTATTGAAGTCCGACCTCTTCTTTGTAGGTTTGCAGAATGTCAACCCAGGAGTCCATGTCAAACGCGTCCAAAATACTTCCCGTCGGCAAACTGGTCCTGAGGGTAACCACCTGCTCTATCTGCTTAGCAATTACTCGTAATACCTCGTGCTTGGCGTCCTTTGGATTTCCGCTTGTTCCAGGGTCCATGATAGTAAGCCGACTTCTAGCAGTATGTGAAAGAGACTTAGGATTGCTATGATTAGGCGGACATGTAGAAATTACAGAGTCTATATCTCTGAGCCCTGCAGCCAAGCTTGGCTGCTTTAAATTTGAGACTGCCGTCCTGGGGTTTGTCCATGGCATCTGTTCCTCCAATGTTCTACTAGTTTCATATCGATTAGCGCTCTGCGCTCCCTTCTGCAAATGGTGATCGTACGAGGTGCGCCCGGCGGATCGGAAGCGGGTTTTCCGCGGATAAAGGCATGGCTCTTTACTATTGCAACATCGTGCACATGGTTGTCCTCCGCTGCACTTCGTCTTGCGTTTCTGACACGTCTCACTAAGCATGAATGTGTGAGCAAATGTTTTGAGCGATGCAGTACGTCTTGGGTCCTGCACATACCAGGCTACAACCGTATAAGGAAAACGACTCCTCCGCGAGATTCCAGGGCGAGCCATTGCCTGGGAGCTGGACATAAAAGCTAAGTAACTTGTTCTGAATTCGGAAACGTGATGGGACCATGCTGGAGGTACTTGAAGCAGATGGATGTATATGGGACGAACAGCAATGGGTCAACTTTTCCCAGGAGAGATAGGAGTATAGGAGAAAAAAACGCACTGGGTGACGAAATCAATTCTAATACCAATACGAGTGCCGTCGACTAGCTAGGACAAGTTAGAAACTGGGGTTTCAAATAATCTAACCAGCCGAACCCGGCGCTAGCGAAGTGCACTATAACCTAGGTCCTGGGTCATGGCAGAATCTCGGCGCCACCGTTCATTGGCTCACCTGACTCGCTTTACAATATCTAAGCAGCTTAATTGGAAGCGAGGGGAACTTTGGCAATGTCTACGTGGTTACCGGTCTACCTGAATGTGCCAGTGGCCATAGCATATATATCACTTGCTGGAGGAGTGAGAACCGAGAAGTTTGTATCCTTGCTAGCGCTGCTTATCTTGTAACTATCATAGATAATATTAGTTCTATAGTATGCCTAAAAGATATCTTGGACTGAGACGCTCATCTTCAGATGAAAGGACTAGACTAAGGAGCTATGCTGGCAGGATTCACTATGATAGAGTGCCGAATGACGTGTAAACTGGTTTCTCAAAGTATGCTGATGTGCGAAAGCGAATCATCAAATCGTCTCCATGATCCATCTCCACATTTTGATGAATTGCGGGCGGTCTAGAGGCTGTATCGCACGCATAGTCTCTGAAACTTCCATGGCCAACGAAGTCTCGAACTCTACAGAACTCGCGTTTGGATCATTGCTATTCGCCAAGTTGGGCTTCTGGCTAATCAGACTTTTCCAAAAACATAGCAAAGCCTGGGAAGGATGGGAAACATCAGGTACTTCCAGCTTCTCTCCTAATCTCTGAAGCCACTCCGATGGCGAGGTGATCTCGAGGGTTTCGTCTGCTGCTTCATCCGTAACCCATTGGAGCATCTGATCCCAAGTTGGAGTCTTGCACGGGTTAAGGACGTGGTACACTGGTGGGTCTAGTTTCTCGTGATCGCTGGGCTCGGGCTGGATACCTTGTGAGAGTATAATGTCTAGGACTCCTCGAGCTGCTTTATCCACTGGTAGCCAATTGGGGATCTCTGTCAAGCGTGGTAGGCAATGAATAATCTTGGCGGTCGAGAACATGAGTGGATAGGCTTCTGTTGTATTCCAAATTCCGGCATCGTTCCCACACAGCTGACCAATACGGATGATGGAAATTGGACGAAGGTCCTCGTTTCTTACAGTTACAGATTTATTTGCCGCAGCACAAATCCGCTCTGCAACCCATTTGGATTGCGCATATCCCAAAGGTGAAGCGTCTGTTGGGATGTCTGATGTTTTCTCGACGGCTGTTCTCGAATGTATATGGCTCACAGCCGCAAGTGAGCTGATGAACACGAAGTGCGCACCTCCTTCGATGGCTGCGTTCATCAGATACTGCATTCCTGCAATCTGATTTTCAAAGGATTGGAGCGGCAGGTTGAAATTGACCGTCCAAGCCGGATGAATGTATATCGTTGCTTCGCGTAGAATTTGGTGTCGATCAGTCTCGGATAGACTCAAGCTGCGGGATGACAGGTCAAATGGCAGACAAACCACCTTGCTATCTTGATAACGAGACCCCTGTAAGTCTCTACCACCCGAAAGACCATATTTCTGAAGCGCCTGATATACTCGATCTCGGGCTACCGATGGAGTTGGAGCTCTGACAAGGCAATACACCTTTTCAATGCGACAGTCTCTACTAAGGAGGTCCAAAATATGTACTCCAAGAAATCCGGTCGAGCCCGTGAGCACAATGGCATGGTTCGCCTGTTTGCAACGTTTTATGTTACGAAATTCGAAATGACTATGCTTCGTGACCAACTCTCGCATGAGCTGTAATTGTGCAACACGGTCATTGGACTCTGCTGATTGTGTTCCGCTCCGTAGTTGTCGCAGGTAAGCGACCAGAGACGTTACTG